TAATCAATTGTCATTTACATTTAATCAATGTGTTGATAGTGGTGTATTTCCTGATCTTATGAAGTCTAGTAAAATTATTCCCTTATTCAAATCTGGTAGTACATCTGACCCAACTAACTTTAGACCTATCTCAGTACTACCAGTATTTAGTAAAATTTTTGAAAAAATTATGTATGATCAATTGCACAGTTTTTTTAATAATAATAATTTATTGCACAATAGACAATTTGGTTTTACAAGGGGTCGCTCCACAACTGATGCTAGTGTTGAGCTAGTAAAACATATATTTGATGCCTGGGAGGATGCCCACGATTCTCTAGGTATCTTTTGCGATTTATCTAAGGCTTTTGATTGTGTTGTTCATGAAACGCTGATCAGGAAATTACAGCACTATGGTATCAAAAATAAAGCCCTGGAACTACTTGCCTCATATCTATGTAATAGGATTCAAAAAGTTGATATTAATGGTGAGCGGTCTCCAGGCTCTGTGATAGAAATGGGCGTTCCACAGGGTTCTATTCTCGGCCCTTTTTTGTTTTTAGTATATATTAACGACTTACCTCACTTTGTCAAGGACAATCTCGAGATTGTGTTGTTTGCAGATGATACATCACTATTATTTAGACTAAAACGGACACTTTCTGATTTCACATTTGTAAACAGCGCCATTTCGAAAGTGGTTCATTGGTTTGATGTCAACAATTTACTATTAAATGAACAAAAAACTAAGTGTATACGTTTCACTATGCCAAACGTCAAGCCAGTGAAAACTACTGTGATAATTAAGGATGTCGGGCTGGACCTTGTGGACACTACGACATTTTTAGGTATAACACTAGATGCTAAGCTACAGTGGGGCCCACATATTGATAAATTGTCGAGTAGACTCAGCTCAGCAGCATACGCAGTAAGGAAAATCCGAGAGTTGACTGATGTTGATACAGCACGACTTGTTTACTTCAGTTACTTTCATAGCATAATGTCGTACGGTATTCTGCTGTGGGGGAATGCTGCCGACATTCAAACCATTTTTGTGCTGCAAAAGAGAGCTATTCGAGCACTTTATAATTTAGGCAATCGTTGTTCATTGAGGCAGAAATTTAAAGAAATAAATATAATGACAGTGGCAAGTCAATATATTTATGAAAATGTAATATATGTTCACAAAAATAAAGATAGCTTTTTGAAAAAAAGTGATGTACATGCCATAAATACCAGAAATAAAAATAAATTTGTTGTACCCGCCTCTAGGCTCCAAAAGATAAACAAGTCTTTTCGAGGTCAATGTGTCCGATTTTATAATAAAATCCCAAATAATATTCAGGAGTTGAGTATTAACAAATTTAAATCCGCAATAAAACGTGGCTTGTGCCAGAGGGCCTACTACTCGATTGTGGATTACATGGAGGACAAGAATGCTTGGGATTAATTAGCGCAGGCTATTTCTTTCTTAAGTAAAAATGTGGTGTGGCTAGTATGTTTTTTATTATTTTTTCTATTTTTTATGTTTCACTTCATTTTCTCTTGTATTCGTTTGTTCTTCTTAATCTTGTTTTCTCTTCGTTGTTTTTTCACCTTTAAGTCCTTAATAACGGACATACTAGCACACATCAAAACAATGTTGTGATATATTTAATAGTGCCATTGTATCTACTTGTGAATTGCAAAAGAGTGGCCATGAGTTTGTTTGCCCTTTCTTCTCATAAGGCTCAACCCCTTGGAAACGGGCGGTTGTAGATCGGCACAGGCATATCATAGATTTTGTATGGGTTTGATTTTGTTAAATTTATTTGGTTACTATTTGACAAAACAGAGATTGTTGCTTTTGTGTGTGTTGATCTATGACTTTAGAGTCTACATGGAAGACGATTTCAAACAATTTTAAAAATTTTATGAAATAAAGAAAGTTTGAGTTTGAGTTTGAGTTTGAGTATCATAACTTTAAGTCTTGTCGCAGGTTTATGATAGCCATGGATTTTCACCTTTGATAAGAAAGGAAAAGCTTTTTTACTGACGCAAATATTTTATGTAGAGAAATTTTGGGATGTCATTCAAGCAACTGGGAAAGTATTTTTATAGAAGACAAAGCATTTCGCAACCATGATTCTTGTTTGTCTTTTTAGAAATTAGGTAAAAGTGTTATAGTTTTCCTACCAAAAAAATATTATATATTTCACTCTGACTACCGATCACCGAAGTGTGAGGTCGCATACTCAACTCCAGAGCATTGGCGAAGCAATTCTTACGAACTATTTCAATAACTGATCAAAAGATTTCTCTTCCAAGAATACTATAAAATAAATATACAACTGTAATACAGGTCTACTTGTCTATACATCATCATCAACAACCGTTACTAGTCCACTGCTGGACATAGGCCTCTCCTCAGAAAGGAGATTTTGGCATTCTGTACCACGCTGGCCCAGACGTACAGTTTCATACAACAGCAATGTCTTTTAGCAGTTGGGAAATAAACTTAATGTAAATAAATTTATTAACTATTAAGACGTCCATATAATAACTTTTATTTTTTTATTTATTTTATTATTGATGGTTGTGCGTGTCAATCATATATAAAAATCTGAAATAGCGGCATACGGCGGGCATTATTCGGACCATTTATTATTGAACGGTCGAGAACGTCAGGTTGTGGACTCAGGAATGAGTGCTTATCTGCGTTTAATAAAACGTTGTTTAATTATAGAGGAACGTAAATAAATATACGCAAGCGTTTCATGATATATTCTTTCTGCATTTCGGACCTTTAATTAAATTCGAGTATAAATAATAGATTCCTATTAACTTTTACAAATGTTTTCAAATTAATTTGTATCATATTAAAAATGCCGGTGATTTGATTGCTTAATTATTAATTTCTAATGACTATTAGTTATTTTAGTTAATAGTGAAATTTAAGTTAATTTAAAAAAAAGAATGTACGAAACACTGACAATATTTTTTAATAAAACTCGAACCGACTAAAACCGCACGCCGTCTCGGGTACTAATAGCCGGGGAACCAGGTATACCCTAGAAAGGATGTCCCTGGTGCCCCGACATACCTCGAGTCTACAGACGAGTAGACGTGTGGGAACCCCATGTTCCCCTGCTCCCTGGAAGCGAGCGCGCTTCGCAACGCTGGACGCACCTACCTAAAAAACACACACACACAAATCGACGTTTACGAAGTATGTTCCATACTTGAATATTCAAATTGGAACGGCACAATACACCTCTGCACCTATTGTACTCCTTCCTCCCCCTTAGATGACCCCCTCCATCCAAAGGTAGTCAACAAAAGGGACGCTGAGGAAAAAGCTAGGTTCCGGTGTCAGTCGCACGCGAATCCCTCGCCTTTGAATGCCCGCTAGTATGTTGTACCTGAGGTTTTACCTAGTTTTATTTTTCCTTAGAGTATAATAAATTTGTTTATTGTATTCTTTTCCGCTTTTATGTTAAAGTAAGAGCATATATTGTGTTGTAAAAGCATTTGTGGACCGTTTCGTTACAAAGGTTTCGGATTAAAATAAAACAGCAAAATGTATGTAGTTAACATTAAATAACGATAAAATTGTATTAAGCTGGCTATAATTCTGAAAGCATATATAGACTAACTAACAAAGAATGAAAAACTATAATGGTATTTGTAGAATAAATGGTACTCTAAACGTTAATACATATTACATTATCTGTTAGGGCGCTTTGTGCTTTAACAATAGGCAATAAGTGCTCAACTGATTAATGTTACCGATGAAAAGGATAAACTGTTGCTAGTAATTGTAAATTCTAAACAACAAATACACAGTTTAAAACTCGCTCTCTAAGCTCTCTAGAATTTCTAAATATATGAAATACGAAGAAAAATCAGTTTAAACTGTTTTACTAGGAATGTTTTTATACCATTTAATTTCGTTATTGATGAATTTAAATGTAGTTTTAACTTTACTCAGACAAAGGACATTTCCAACGGTCATTGGCATATATATCTCGATAATTTCGACATTTTTGTAACATTTTTATTAGCTGTTTTATTGTACATGTTATAAACCTCAAAATATTGGGCAGGAAAAATTAAGCTCTAAATGTGGAAAAACCTGTAACGAATGCTTAATACAGTGTATATTTTATTTTTAAGATTGTTACCGTTTAAAACAAAGAGTTTAAATATTTTGCAAGCAACAGTTAAACACTAGATTTCATGTACATAAACTTTGCCATTTATTTTATACGACACTGTACAGCTCTAATAAGGTTCGTGTTATAAATACATTAATTATCAAGCTCCGTAAAATGGCCTTACGAATTGTTCCTCAGGGAGTTCATATGTAGGTCCGAACTGTTGTTATGGGTCTTATAAACCCCACGTCGCCATTGCAGGGTTAACTGTTTACGAGGAACTAGTTCCGAGATGAATATTTTACGACAAGCAAGTGATTGTGGGTGTACGATGTTGAGGTGATAATGTAATCTACTGGTCGAGAGTCCTCTCTAATTGCGGGAGAGGGTATTCTAGAGATACAAGATAATAACCTTTAGGTACTACTAAGCACTGCAGAACTGTCAATTTTTTTTTGTAGCTACCAGTGTTGTTGTATTAAATAATAATCATTGAATAAAATTTGGTTTATACTATGTCTATTATCACGTCACTTTTGTCTATCTGTCATTTTTGTACAATTATTGCTTTGTTGGAAAAAAAATAACACATTTACATATCGGTACAAAATACAGTGAGCATTCTAACTGTATTAATTTACAATTATTCGCTATGCCATTCAATGATTTAGGCTACATGCACATCAAAGCAGGGTCCTTTGAGTTGCTCCTATCACAGAGGTCACATTTATACGTTAATACCCACTGGCTTATCTCAGAGTACCTGGCAGAGCCCCTTTAAGTATAATCTTGGCTACCCGTGGAAATGTTAAGAAAATAATTTTTTTTTAACCCTCTGGAGTATAAAGTATGTTGATCTTTGAAGATGTTTTTGTTTTTGACAAAATGGCGGTCAACATACGTGCTTATATAACTCTGTATCGAAAGAACGAAAGTACAAGAGGTATTTATCGGCTAGCAACATAACAAATGATAATATTTTTATTTAATAAAATATTCAGTTCAGAGAGAAATATCAGCAATTGTACCTCTGAATGATATTAAAAAGAAATCAAAGTAACTTTCAGCATATCTAATACTCCCTGTTATTCTTTGCTTGAGAATTCGATGGCAGTCCATGTGTCTCGGAAATAAAATCTGCATCTAACCAACTTTAAAAAGCATTTCGAACTATCCTTAAAATCAGAAACTAATCTGAGCTATTTACATACAAACTCGGCCGGCACAGCTAGAAAACTTCCTAAAATAAATCGAGTACGTAACTTATGGCCGTTTAAAAAGAAAAGAAAAACGTAAAGTCTCCTAATTTAGTTCATCAAAGCCTTCATCAATCAGGCTTCGGAGAAGCTTAAAATAATCCGACATTTCGATCACTAGTTTTTGTGCTCTTTGGTCCATTAGTAACGAAAAATAGTAGTGATTTGAAACACGTTATTTTGTTGATATTTCGGTCTGTGTAGAGGTTGTAAATTTTTGTTTGAGGATGATATGAACGATGATTTCTTTTCAATAATTAATTAACTAAAAAACTTAATAAACTTCAAAGCGCACGTATCAGCATGAATTGTCATAAATTGTATTCTTCATTTCTTAATTTTCCACCCTTAGGTTGATAGTTTTTTGAGGTGTTTGAGTAATATCCTCGCAAATAAAAAAATAATCGTATTGCAAATAGATTTATGAATGTCCAAGTTATGAAGTAACAAAGAACGTCTTCCTTTATTTGATGTTGGTTAAAAGCTTTTGACTACTTACAACCAGTGCTAAAGTCTCGATTCAAATCTATAACTTGTGCTGTAATTCCAAAGCTCATCATATAATGGTATCCAAAATACGAGGACTTGAAACTAAAGTAATATTAATGTTGAACCGTTGAACAATCTTGTTTAACGTCACAAGCCAGGCAGAATGAAGTGTTAAGATCAAAATTAATTGACCGACATTGAATGCCTCTTAATCTTTATTTGTAGCAGATTCTTTCGTGTGTTAAAACTTAAGTGGAAACTTGACTGTCTGTTCTGTGAAATAAGTCGATGGATTGCGATATTTTGAGTTTCATTCCTATATCGCGAAAATGTGACAGAATAATCATATAGCTAAAATGACTTTTATTATCAGAAGTTAAAAAATGGGTTGAAAAACTCATATTTATTTCTTTTTTTCACATAATTACTGCTGTCGTACATATGATCTTTTAGACCGGATTAACATACTCGACTCCGTGATGTCGGCAAATATGATTACAGTATGTAAATTAATCAATTGGCCATTAATATAAAAGTCTTTCATAAAAGGCTAATGAACGAAATGATAACATTTTCACTGATATTACAGTTATTCAACATGTTTATTTATCCTTTATCACTATTTTTAGTAACCCAGGTAGCTTTTAATGTTGTGGGTTCGATTCCCACCTAGGATATATAAGTGTATGACGAGCACGATCATTTGACTGACTCGGTGGTGCAGTGGTAGCGTATGCGACTGCTGTGGTGAGGTTTTGGGTTCGATTCCCGGGTCGGACCGAATGTTTGTATGATCTGCAAATATTTGAGTAGATGGCGTTGTGTTTCAGATGTCCGAAATATTATATTATAAATTTATTAGATTATTTGTTCTGTGTTTGGGTGTAGTTTATCTATAATAATGTACCCATGTATTTAAAATATATGTGTGTGTTTATCTGTGGTCTGGTTACCATAGTATAGGCTCTATAGTTTGGGTTATGAATATTGTGTAACTATAGACTGCCTCGGTGGTACAGTGGTAGCGACTGGTGTGCTGAGGTGGGTGCTGGGGATTCCGGGTCACACCAAATGTTTGTATGATCTGCAAATATTTGTTTCGGAGTTTGAGTGTTTTCTATGTATGTATTTACAAAAAAAAGTATATAAGTAATCTATCAGTCAATCTAGCTTTCATAGAATAAGCTCTGCTTAGTTTAAAACTAGATGGCGTTGTGTGACAGATGTCCGAAACTTATTATTATATATTTATCAATAATGTAATATCATGCTTTGACTGCACGGATGTCGTATTGGTTTAAGCGGTCGCCACGCCGCTTACTACTACACTGAGTGTTATGGGTCCGATCTCCACATGGGACGACACTTTGTGTGATCCACAAATTGTTGTTCTGAGTCTGGGTGTTCTTTGTGTCCGTTTCATGTATGTTTGTAAAGGCCCCCGCGACACAGGATATATTCCTAACGAGGGTGTTGTCTTTTATCAATCAAAAATCCTATATCCTAGGTACATAATGTTCCGGACGGTACAAACTCCAATGAGATTTGTTTCTTTTAAATACTGCGCTAAAAAATATAAAAGTTACTATTGTATTACTTAATAGTGTAAAAGAGTTAACGAGTATCACTATATTCAGTAATTACGGAAAGGTTATAAGAATAACTATGTAATAAAAACGCTGTTATTCTAACCTTGTTTGTTTTAATCGTCCAATTGGTTTTACGTGTCCCCTTAGTTTAATGGTACATGTGATTATATTTTGCTCGAAGTGTAAAGTTATGTTAAAGACCAAATTAGGATGAACTCAAAGTGATGAAGTGTATTATATCCGTGGAATTTTATAGAAATATAACCTAGGCGAAGGTTTGATCATTTCTTTCTTAATTTAAGTTTTAAAAGTAATTATGCTCTACTAGTAATCCGCGAGTTGATGGTATGTTTAAAAATGGACCTCTTGGCAATGGGCGGTTGTAGATCGGCACAGGCATATAAGAGATTACGATTCGATACGTATATATTTAGTTTGCTAAATCTTTGACAAAACAGAGATTGTTGCTATTGAGTGTATTGATCTATGCCTTAAGAGTCTAAACACGAGATGATTTCAATATATTTTTTTATGTTTGGTTGGAAAATCACTACTTTATTACATAGATCTATTTTAAAAACCCCAAAACCCCAAAAATAAAATAAATTAAGAAAAGATAATTGTTAATTTCTTTTTGCTTGAGAAATATAGGGTTTTTCTGCCCGTGAGTCACGTGATGGAAATATCAATCAAATGAAAATGTGTCGTAATCGTGCTCAGTTTGACATTCTTTTCGTGTTTAATAAATAATAACGTAGATTTGTTTATAAACAAACACATACTCATTAAGGCATAGTCAAGTATTTCAAAATTATCCTTATATTTTTCCGGTTCAACGCCTTTTAATTTTTTATATATGGTTTTGGCTCAGCCCAGTTCTTGCTTTGTGTTATTTTGTTTTGTGTATATAGAACCCAATCAGACAATATTTGATACAGAGAAACCAAACAATATAATAAAATAACAACTATCTAAACTATTCATAAGAAGAAAAGAAATACTATATAATATAAGTACATCTCCACTCATAATCGACTAAATCGATTAATCATTTTTATTACTCGAAAAGACATAAAACTATATGGTGCGTAAATGAAAGTCATAATTTATTACGTGAGAAACAACAACAAGCATTTGTCGTCTGTTACGAATGAGCTGTGAATTTATTAGATTTGTAAAAGCTGAGACATAATGTCCTCGGATTATGTTTGGCGCTATCTGAAACGCACCAGGAGTTACACCATTTAGAAAACGTTTTAGAAAATCATATAGATAACACTTACGACGGCTATTAACATTAACTGACTTTCATGTAATTATGTTGTTGTTACTTACTTAAATATTATATAGCAATATAACACACATATACATATAGATACATACATTTATTGTTTTGAATTAATGGTGCTTTTTTTCATCTTTAACTACGAAATATCTGGACTCGATTTAATTGCCTCTCATCAGACGTCATTACGCTATAGAACTTACTAAATTATTGAAATCAACTTCAATTATGCCCTATAATCAACTAATTCCCCTCTCTAAAACCTTATTCATTAATGTTCGTTATTTTCATTGAGGCTTTGGACTGCTGTTTTGACGTCAACACAATAGAGTCTTGTCGATTAGGAAAAGACGGAAGAATGGGGTTGTGTTGAATATCCGTAAATTAATGGTAATACATATAATTATTGACTTGGAGGAGAAGCTTAAGTTTGGCCTGGTATATAAGTTCACATTTTTGCTTTTGTAAATATAAATTATTTCATTTGACCGTTTGACGGTGACCGTTTGCAAAGATTAGAAAAGCTGAATAAATTAAATAATCATCCTCATCAACAGCTTTTATTAATAGTCCACTGCTGGACAGGCCTATGTCCTTAGAAAGGAGGTTTTGGCCTACTATATTGCGCTGGTCAGACAGGTTAGTATAGGGTTTGTTTTAAGTTTTCCTTTTCTTTACAGTGCTGTTCTTCTGCGGATTTTGCGTCCTTAGTCGGCTGACGACAGCCACGGAATGAATAGGGGTGGTGACACTTGGTATTCTTAATCCGTCACCACATGGACAAAATAAAGAAATATAAATTATTTGTTATTTAGGAGACATTACATGATCGAACTTATAGGTAACTATTTATGATATTGTAAAGCATGCTTTAACAATACATATATATATAAATCGAAGTTTGTATAATCAAATATTAAAGAAACTAACCTTCACGTTGAAATATAGCACTTCTCAAAATGGGATTTAGTATATCTAAATACCATTTTGAGAAGTGCTATTTTTATAGCACTAAGTGAATTTTGAGAAATAGTAGTAATCAATGGATTATTAACAGTGATCATAGTCATAGGCTTAGAAACTTATTCTTAATTCAGAAGTTGACCGAATAGACTTAATATAAGAACCACATCTAGCCATAAGTTATAATATCTTAGTTGGCAGACTTACATATTTTACCCTCTAAGTTAGGCTAAGTTGCTGCTGAGATCTTATCGCATGAGTTAGTTTCACTGGCCGTTTTATATATAACATAAATAACTTAAAATAGGGGTAGGTCTGCACTAAGCTAGGTCTGGGTAAGTTTCAAGTTCTGGTTTTGATCGAGGTCCTCTTTGTTTAGACTGTAGAGACAACTGTAGCAATCTCTCAAGGACTTTGTGAAAATACTGTCTTGTGAATATTCCTTATCTCAGAATGATATAATAGCTTTAACAATAGTTGTATCATATAAAACTTACTATGCGCTATTACTCACATTGCGCTATTCTTACTTCTAAAGTTGTTTGGATATAGGTCTAGTTTGTTTACAACGATTACGTGTTTCTCTTCTTTAACTAAATGACTTTCATTGTATAAAAACTTTATAGTAAAAAAATAATTATGTAAGTATGAGTTGAAACAAATAAGAATACAGGCTGATTTTATGCTCCCAGACAAATAGTCCGCAAAAAAAATTTAACTTTAATATTGTAAGTACAAGTTACAACACATATATATATACAACAAGTGTGTGTATATACTTGACACAATTCCTTGGCATAACTGTAAACTTCTTTATTAGTACTCTAGTATTAATTAGTTAGCAACACATATTCCACTTATACTTACTTATACTTTAAAAGCCTATTTCGGAGAAACATATATCCTAAAACCATTCTTCCAATTCCTAAAATCATTCTTCTTGGAACTAAGACTTGTGCTTTGTGTGAAAATTAGTTTTTTAAGGGCTATATCAATACAGAACCAAGTACGTTTAAAATAAGAGGCCCTTTGTGCTTTTTAAGCTCCAAAAATATCAAATAAAGACAACACCAGCTCGGTTGTATGTCACAATGTGTTATATTTTTTTCCACATTTTATTAGAAGAACGCGTTTTCTTTACGAAAGTACGTATTATTATTTAGCAGCAAGATATACTTACATAAATTGATTGTTAGTTTATTTATTTAATATTTTGTGCTCGATAATAACATGTACAGGTAAAGAAAGGTCTCATCCTGCAATATCATGGGCGACAGACCCAATATTAACAAGGTAAAAACGCTATTGACGGGCATGCATCACCTGGGAAATATTTAGAAACTTGTGTAAATCCTAACATCAGGTGCATGAAATACCAATTCTATTTGGAAATTCAAAACACAAAGCTTGTATTCATGTTACACCAAATACTGCACCTGAAATTTCCAGTTGTAATTGATTATACAACTTAAACGAACGTCAACGAAATTGGAATCTAGATTTTGACCACAAAGTTAGGGATCAAAGCTAGAATTGAACCTCAGTTTCTTACTACGTAGAGTAGGCGTGTCTGTCTGTCGAACAAAGGATGCTCAGTTTCATCAAATTTCAAATGTGCAACGCTTTATATTGAAACTGTATCTGTGTAGTATTTGCTTGACCCCGAATGAAGTACTGTGATGTTTCTGCTCAAAGGAATATTTTAATATAACTAGGCTTGTAAATAACTAGATAATAGTATACCTGACACATTTCAGAATAATTTCCTGTTCCGGATTTATAAGACTAGGATTATTCTGTTTTACATTAGAAATGTATTAATCTAATTTATTTTACAATAACAAAGAGGTAAGCGTTGACCATTGTAATACAAACGAACTGTGTTAGGACCTTCAGCGTCTTCATAAAAATTTCTATATCAACACGACTCTTTACTTCACAAAGCTCTGAAACACACTGTCGGCTACTAGTTTTAATATAATTAGGTCATTTCAGTATTTGAGTTTGAAGGCTAATATGTTTTTATCTTTCTTTCACAGTCCGGGAGCACACATCACATCATGTAACGAGATTAAGACACTCGAGGCATTTAGAGGGGTACCCACCGATACATACCTCCTCCGTGAGTAAACACCCTTATCACCTATCACCTCTATCATATTATCACAATCACCCTACCCCGACAGCTTTGTCCCCATAGAGTTCGTGTTAATTTAAACGCTTCTTTGTTTTAAAAATAGGTGTTTGCATGAACTATGATATTATAAAAAAACATATATATTTTGATGTAATAGACCAGCTTACATGGATAACGTAAGTAAGTCTTTGGAATCATTATTAAGTCACATTTCATATACTTTTACTATACTTTAATCCAAAGCACCCTCTGGATTCACAGGTATTAATTTTATGTTTTATGTAAGCAAATTAAACTTATTGAAGTATTATTTATATTATGTAAAAATAACACGAGTTTTTGATAAAGAAACATAATTATCAAATGTCATTGTATGCTGACTGTTACGCTGATTAGATTATGAGAAAGCGTTGGAAAAAGTTTATCATAATAGTATATTTGCGTGACTCGTTTTTAAGTAGATAGCATGAAAGGAAAAAATTATTGAGCAATAAATTTTTACCAAAAACTTGTGCTTTGGAGATGATTCTCGCCTATTCTTAATCTTTGAAACATTTAATTATAAGATTGAATGATTTTGATGAGTAGGTAACTCATCAAAATTATTTGATTTATCAATTACGATTTCAAGAGAAAATAAGAACTAGGCGTGAATCACCGCTAATTGATGTCGTAGATATTATTTAGCTCAAATATTGATGTAGTCGCATGCCCTAACGCGGTTTCAGTTTGTACCGGTCACATCACCCAAGCTGGCCGTCAAAGATAACCACAAGCCGCTATTCACCGAGTGCCTGAACTACAGGCCGTCAGTAAAGGAGGAACAACCTGTCGGCACATTTGTGTTCACGGTAAGTTTACTTTTAATCATTTATGTATGATAGTTTTTTCTAAAAATTCATGAAACTGTATTAGATTGAAAATTTCTCAAAATACTCATGGATGTTCTTTAAGCCGGCCACGTATCAGATTAGCACCGTAGTAACGAGTAAGCGGACTATAGCTTAATGCTAATCATAATCCGTGTTGTAATTACTGCTTAGAAATTTCCATATATATCCGGGGCACTGTGCAATAGTGACTGAGTAATAATACATATCTGATTAGATTATAACTGCTCGGCGACATCATACGAGTATCTTTTGACAAGGTTTGGAAGGACCCACTAGCCCCGACCGCTGTTTCTATCGACTCCATCTTCTAAGATAGCAAATGCTGTACCCATTTCCAAAATCAAGAGTGTTTATTCTCTAATCTTTTGTATAATGTCTCCGTAAACGTGATGTGTTCTCTGATCCAGATCCTAGATCCTGATCTTAATGTCAACTCTAGAACAAATTTACTTTCGTGTAGATTTTACAGTTGAACCCAAAAAGAGCTCTGCCTCGTCACCCTAAAATGTTTAATTCCTGCGATTTCTTCTTCAACTCTCTGTCAACTACTCCACTCTTAGTTCGGTTTTACAAAGCCTAAATGCCAAAGAAAGAGCTCGTTAGTAGTAGTAGGTACAAGAAAATACGACATCAACTTTGTTATCATGCAATTAAAAATGACTTATTGTCAGCATTGTAACACATCAAATTACAAACAAAAATAAAGTTTTGTAACAGTAAAATTCTTATAGTAATATTCCAAGAAGTTCAGAAAAATACTATTTATTCATTTGTGAAATCGACTTCTGATTTCGTTTGATAAATCACCTAATATTTCACGTCTCCTACATGCGTATTTATTATAGTACAATTTTTTTTATCGTTTTACACTGATTAACTCTAAATAGGTACGCACCTACGACTCTTGTTCGCCAAATGCTGGATATGACTACGCAGTCATATCCAGTATTTGGCGAGCAAGAGTCCTTACGAAGGAAATAAGCTTTTTTAATGATGGACATTAATAATACTTAATGATGGAAGAAAGGGCAAACAAACTCATGGCCCTTTTTTTTCGCAATTCACAGATAAATACAATGGCATTATTAAATATACCCCAACATTGTTTTGATGTGTGCCAGTATGTCCGTTATTAAGGACTAAAAGGTAAAAAGACAATGAAGAGAAAACAAGATTAAGAAAAAAATCGAATAAAAGAGAAAATGAAGTGAAACATAAAAATAGAAAAATATATAAAATAAAAAACAATAGCCTACACCACATTTTTGCTTAAGAAATAGCCTGCGCTAATTAATCCCAAGCATTTTTGTTTTCTATGTAATCCACAATTGAGTAATAGGCAATCTGGCACGAGCCAAGATTTAAATTTGTTAAAACTTAAGTCTCGACTATTATTTTGGATTTTATTATAAAATCGGACACATTGACCTCGAAAAGACTTGTCTATCTTTTGAAGCCTAGAGGCGGGTACTACAAGTTTATTTCTATTTCTGGTATTTGTAGAATTTACATCACTTCTTTTCAAAAAGCTATTTTTGTTTTTATGAACATAATTATATTACATTTTCATATATATGTTGACTTGCCACTGTCATTGTGTTTATTTCTTTAAATTTCTGCCTCAATGAACAACGATTGCCTAAATTATAAAGTGCTCGAATCGCTCTCTTTTGGAGTACAAAATATTGGAATATAAACAGAATAAGTTTATTCACTATTTGAACAAAGGTTAAAATATTTGTTTACCTGTGTCTGAAGACACAGTCGCATTTTCGGATCTGAGTATACAAAATCTGGGCGAGACGAACAAGAAGTTGGATATTGGATATTTTCTAAAAAGCATGTTTACGTTACAAGTCGGATATTTTTGTAGCAAAATATACCATAACTTTTAGTTCAATTGAAGTTTGGACTGAATTATACGAGTCAATACAGCATTGTAAAAACTTGTTTCAATTAGAGTATCCTGACTGAGTTTCCTTGGTATATGAAATATTACAGGAAAATTATAACACATTATTGTATTTCAGGTACACGCAGAAGACCGTGACCCTCCAGAAATGGGTGGGACGGTAACTTATAAGTTTGTCTCCACTCCTGGTGAAAAGGAGAGGTTCCACGTCGACCCTAAGACAGGGCGAATTACTACAGCTGATGTTAGTATAAAATATATTTAAATTCAAATCTGCTTTTATTCTCACTTAGACTAGGCTTATTTAGATATTAAACAGTTATCTAAAACATAACGTTTAGTTACTGCTATGGTTCAGAGTTTTGATCAATTTAATTATTTTATAAACAAACAAAAATTATTCCCCAATTTTTTTTGTCTGTAAAGTATAATCAAAACTCTCTTTGAAGTTCTATGAGAGAAACCTATTCATGTTGGCCTCAAATAAATAAGTTTGTACGTTTGAAATTATTAAATTATTGTTACAAATAATAAAAGGGTTTATTTAGGGCAGGAATTTGTAATTCATAAATTTTCATAATTTTTGGTTTTGATCATCTTATGTCCTCCTTGTTAATAGTCTAGTTTTATTCTTTAACTTAACACGAAAGCTTCTCAATTTGGAAATAAGGTAGGTAAAATCTTTAATACATTTAATAGTACACTTTCTAATAATATTGAAATCGCGTAGATTTTCGATCACGATGAACCGTCCAGAGAGAAGGAAGCGTATATAACAGTTCGGGCGTCGGACAACGGCCAACCACAACTAGACGACGCGTGCACCATCAAAATTATTATAGAAGACATCAATGACAATCCGCCCGTGTTCGACAAAGTTGTGAGTAAACATTTTTTAATTAATTTTGTCTTTGGGTACACAAAAATAACCTCTGAGAAATATTGGAAGGTCAGCTGGAATTGTAAACGTATATCATCAGGCTTATGGAGTTTTATTTATCAGATTGCCAAAGTCTTCACGCAATCTTGTTATTTGTGTTTTTCTTAACTGTGGTAACTTCTTTTGTAATCAGAGTAAAGAAGTCGTTCTATATATTTTTTATGTTCCTTTTTATATTTCTGTTTGGTAAAAGCGTGACTATCATTCTGGTGATCCATATCTACCTATAACCAATGTTACGTCTGAATTGTCACTAATTGTATGTTCGTTCACTAGCCTCAAAACGTGGCGAAGACTATATTAACGCTTGCCTGTTTTTCAAAGGTCTTCCGAGGAGATGTTTGGAAGGTTTGTCTAAAAGAGAGAATTACACAAAACAGAGAGAGAGTTCCGCACCAAAAATGTCATAAACTTGCAATATAACTCGTATAATATGTATATTTATACGATTGATATCAAAGCTTATTTTACTAATTGTGAGGAATACTCGTATTATAGTTTTAATAAGTTATGATACCAATCGATTGATTTGTATTGAATATATTCTATTTCTCTAATTGCATGTTGCTGCATGTCTGATTTAGGACCATAAGCCGCCCCTCAAGGCGTTATTGGTAATAATATTTTATGTGTTTCGTGTGTTATAAAAACACTTTCTTTGCACATTTGTAGTTGATGTGTTTTCTTTAGCTAGGCTGCTCTTTCCCCCTAGGCGCATTTTATCACACTGCACGATTATAATTATTTTGGAAAAACTTTCTCTAAGCTTCGGGCATGCTTCGCGTAGAACATGTCTTAAGGATAATCCAGATACTCTACTAATTGTAATTACTGGGTAATAAAACAAAACTATCTTCAGTTTTAAAAATACAACATATTGTTGTATGTAATGTCGACAATTTATGTTGACTTCAAAGTAACGCTAACTTTTACCAATTATGTGTGACCCCAAAAATTAAGCATTGTTAATGTAATATGGTTTTATTAACACGTTTTCATCACACAGTCATATTCGGAGTCAGTTCCTCAAGACCTTCCGAGTGGGCGCGAGGTGATGAGGATATCAGCGACGGATATAGATGATGGGAACAATTCCATCGTCCATTACAGCCTGGATTCCAACTCGCCGGATCAAGCCTATTTTTATATCGATCCAGATAACGGAGTTATCTTTTTAAATAAGACTATAGATGTAAGTAATATATTTTCTAATTTGATATATAATTTAAAAAAAATCTAATAATTAAAGTTTGTAAATTATGTAGATGTCATTTTATCTAACCTTAACAACCAAGTGTTGTTTACAATCTCTTTACACATTAATTTGTGGTTGTGACAACTTTGCTAAATTAATCCATTTTGTTTGAAACAGAAACCGCCGGGGTATAAGTTTAAACTGAGCGCGATAGTAATAGATATGGGAAGCCCGTCCCAGCAAAGTTCTATAACTTTAGACATCCAAGTTGTAGAATCTAACAAGAAGAGCCCATCGTTCATAGAAGTTCCTGATGAACCGATAAGATTAAAAGAAAATTATTCGGATTTCAACACTCCCATAGCAACAGTAAGGGCTATGTAAGTATTGAATATATATAATAATAATAATAAAACAATGAAACACCTCACACATGGCCGTCTGATCCTAAAATGGGAATAGCCTATGGTAAACAGACTAGTACTAAACATACAAAAATAATATTTTTTATCGCATATTTCCCATTAAGATTTCTAGAAGTTAAATAATTAACTTATTTCACAGATCAAATATACCAGAAGAAAAGAAGCTCCAATTTGAACTGGTCCAAGGTCAAACAGAACAAACTAATAAATGGCACACATTTGTATTGGAACCAGAAACAAACACTGCGTATATCAAGCTTGGTAACCATTTGGATTACGAAAAGATTACAGATTATACGCTTACTGTAAGAATACAGGTAAGATAGTTTGAAAATATGTTTTAATTCTTGTTTTGGTGGACAGAGGATTAGAGTTACATATTTGCTAACCGTTCCAAGGTCTAACAACTCTGTCCACTCCCTATTAGTTCTTCTTTGTAAGGTATATTCTTCCCGTAAAGTTACAGAAAGAAAGTGGGCACTCTTCGAATTCACCAACGTACCTTCTTAACAAACGCTACAATAATACATTGATTGATTGATTATGTAATCTGTTAATCCTTTAACAACTGAACATGGACTGAAAACTAGCTAATCGAATCAATTTATACCTTACAGTTAATCTGCTCATTCATTAATTCTTTACGAACATGATCTACATTTTAATAGTTATGTGTCATTTCATGATATCAGTAAGGGCTTTCATGTTCTTTGTAATAAATTTAATCGTCAGCTGTCATTGAGTCTGTAAATTAATTTCATTTTTAAGTAGATTTTAATAGACATCTATTTGTTATAACGTGTGATAATTATAGTTTGAAAAAGTATATTGGTGTGAAAAGTTGCTGATACGCAAATTTATATTAGGAATGAATGACATTGCAAGGAATAAGTCAATAATATATTCAGTCTCAAATATTCACTTCTTTACAGAATAATTACAAACTAGCAGCTGAAACGATAATCCAAATAGAAGTGGAAGACGTCAATGACAACATTCCTATATTCAGCGAAATTCGTTCAGGAAGTGTCCTCGAAAACGAGAACCCAGGCACACCAGTAATGCAAGTTCGAGCTTTCGACTCAGATGGAACGTCAGCTAATAATCAAATCACTTACGAACTCGGCGACCCTTCAGATCCATTCGCAATTGACCGTATAACTGGCAACATTACTACACTCAAAATGTTTGATAGAGAAGAAAGGAGTTTCTACAACATCAAAATAATAGCGACTGATAACTCCGAATCTGCTCTAATACCTGGCAAACATAATGCTGGACAGCAAGTATTCCTTATTGAAATAGCTGATAAGAACGATAATCCTCCACATTTTACACAAGACACTTATGTTGCTGAGTCAATAGCCGAGAATGCCAATATCAATGAGTTGGTCACTGTTGTTAGTGCACTGGATATCGATACAGGTTTGTTCATACTATCTTTATGGCTTTTTGTTATTTTAATGTGTTTTGTTGTAGATAATCTTTATGTCTATTTTACTTAAAATTCACGGTTATAGTTTTTGTTACAATTGAGGCAGCATTTATAAGACGCTGACCAGAAATCTTATTATTAAATCAATATTAGGTCATGATTTTATATTTTACAGTGCTTTTTATTATTATTTCATATCTATTGCAATTAAGTCTTATAATGTAATTTTTTAGCATAGTTAAGTTTAAAAAATCGTTAACTTTGATGGATTGCTAATTGTAACCGTCTTTTCTTTCTTAGCTTTTACCTTAGAAATCATTTACAGTTTAACTCAATAAATTATCTATAATTTGTCTACAGCTTCCGTGGTCTCATACAGCATTGTTGCTGGCAATACTTATGATGCTTTCGTCATTCGTAACTTCACTGGTGAAATTCGCGTCAATAGTGAGCTGGATTATGAGAACATTACCAGTTATACCTTGGATGTCCGGGCATTTGATGGCATCTACGAAGACTACGCCAAAGTTATCATCAACATTGAGAATTTGAATGACAATCCACCAGTATTTTTAGCTAATTACACAAAGACTATTGAGGAAGAGAAATTGTATGAAGGTTGTATTGTAAAGGTGAGTACATTGAATTGTTTTTTCATTTGCTGGAACTTGTGTGACTACTTATTGACAAATACTCTTTTTGTTTAATTACCTTTTTCATTTATTTAGATATTTTGCGAAATGATCAAGGTAATACGACTTCCGATCGTTAAGGTGATTGTAGTCTACTTGTACTCTCATACCAAATTTTGATGATGAACTTACGTTATAGCCTCAAAGTATATAGTGAACTAAAATGTATTTCCCGTGTCCAGGGTAATTACTTATTTTATGTTCTGTATTTCATTCATTTCGATTTATTCAAATTAAATATTAAAACCTTTCCCCTTCATAACTACGGCTAACCGATTTCTAGATTCTTTTTTAAACATATTCTTTAAAACTTTTTTGAAGTTTTCTATAATAAATATTTATTTGTTATATATATTATTTACCAGGTTGAAGCTTACGACCCTGATATCAAAGACAGAAATGCACCTCAGAACATAGTTTATTCTCTCGTCAAACACGAACAAAAGGAGTTTCTTCAAATTGACAACGATGGTTGTCTCCGACTAACCAAACCTTTGGATAGGGACCAGCCACTAGGGTTTACAAGATGGCAAATTCTGATCATGGCGGCTGACCAGGGAGGAAGACTTGGGTCAGATAGTTTAAGATCCACGACGGAGGTCATATTGGAACTGACGGATATAAACGATAATGCTCCGTTTTTGACTAATGTAAGTACATAAATTTCATTTTGTTCTTTTGGTGTAAAGTTTGTAAAAGTAACAATGTATTGAAGTCTGAGCACATTATGTAAAAAATTCAAATTTCCAATCTAATCACATAATACGCATTAGCTGCTTAGATTTTAAGGTCTACGACATTTTTAGAGTAATAATAGCATAGCAATGTGCGTCCGATTCCTGAAATTACTAGTTTCAGAAATTACGATGAAATACAATCGCGTATAGGTGTCCGTCTAGGTAATGCACAAAGTAAGCTTGCGTGTAAGCGCATGAGTGAAAACGGGTGTAAAACGCACGAGAACCTTTAATCGGTTTGTGCGTTTTGTCTGCTAAATCGAAATACAAATACTAGGTATTGCGCTGGCGGGTACGGTACAAATATCGCATGCTAACAGAACGATGGATTTGTAAATAGAATAAATTGTGAAACACTTGTATGGGTGGGTCGTTGTAACCTTTGTGGTTATTTATGGAAATAACTATATCTATTAAAGAAAATACATTCAAAATTAATGAAGACCGCAATTTATCAAATTGGTCGCATGTTTACAGTACTATTTATTATTCCTTCTATACGTGATTATGTATATGTGCGTTGGTATGATGGATGAACTCACAAGGCATTTGATAAAGCACTGTGACAACAAAGTAACTATCGATCATATCCAATGTTAGACAATACGACCCATTAATACTTAGGAGTGCTTTTTTGTTGTAAATCGACACAGTCTTTTTCAATATTTCTATCACATAAAATATAAAAGACATTGACTTAAGTTTTTGTGTCAATTTATTAGTTCATTTAATTAGCGTTTGTACCATCAATAATTTATCTACTGGCGTCAAATTATGAGTTCACAATTAGATATATTTTTATCGAGCATATATGGGGTTTCAACAATAACGAAATGTTATGAATTGAATTGGTATGGTATTTTCAAACGTGTCGTATACCTATATTTGTATTGGTACTAATCGTAAATAGCAGTAATGCGAATAAATAAAATCGCATCTAGGAACTATTCCAGTTTCAGTGACGTATATATTCTACGTATATAACTGCGACCCGATGTTTGCACTAAGATTGTGTAAAATTGCTAATACTGAGAGACAATGAAAAGCACTAACAGAGCAATTTGTAATCATAATTGAAATCGTCGAAAAAAAGGTTAAATTTAGTCCAACGATTAATGACTATAATCTGGTTAATTGCAGACATAATTCAAAGTAACATATATGATTTTATATTTCACCAGGTTTGAAAATAAAAAACAGGATTGTACTACCTTTAACTGTCGTAGGGTGAAATGAAGAACTGCTTATACCCAATAATTACGAACTTAATCATTCATATTAGTAAATACTAAACTACTTCAATTTCCCAAGCCCTATGATTAAGGATTATTAGAATGCAAATAAAATTGCCCAGTACATCTGTTTGCTAACGACTTGCATTTCATGTAACTTGATCCCGATTTTGATTATATATCTCCAGTCGAGATTTCAAAATAAATGGCGACAGGATGATAATAGCGCTAGTTACCAATAAAACATTTGCACTATGCATTAAACTGTTCTTTGTTCGGTTAAGTATTGTCTCAGTCTGCACTATTTACGTTTATTACCCAAACTTCTACTTTCAAGGTGTTTGAACTTTATTACAGTTCAACTTAATGTTGTTGTATAATGTATATTCTGCAAATAAAATTCACAAAAGTATTGCAGTACTTACTTACTTACTTATTCACTTAATATTCATTGACTTATTTGACTGCCTAGTGCGAGTTTTTTATGTGTTCATTCGCATTTATAGTTACGCCGATTTGTACGATTTTACGGGAGTTACATCAATATTTCATTACACGTAGTCGCGTATTAAGGTTAAGCCTTTAATATGCGCCAACGTGTACTACTTCTCACTAAGTATTAATATACATATGACCACTTATGTACAGAAATAATTATTACATCTAAAAAAACACATTTTTCGCGAACAATCTCTTCTTGTTTAAATACTCAATTCAAACAAATGTATTTCTTCTTGTCGCTTAATTTATAAAGACAATGACCTGTCTGTCACTGACTTTGCCTAAAATCCACAAACACGCAATCTACTGCCACGGTATGCATGTTACATTAAAGTTTCATGATACTGTTCTACCGAAAACAAATGTGATAAAAACCTTTTTACCTTTCCCAGCGATATTTTCATTTCTTTGTGCTCCGCTGGATTTATGACCTTAAAATAACGTGTAACTTACAAACACCTTCTGTTACGTTTTATATTCACATATAAATTTTTTACACACGTCAAACTGATTTTCTTACCAAAGTACTTAAGTATAATTGAATTTGGCAACGAGAACAGCCATCCAGGAATACGATGAATGCCGGATATTAAATTTGCTATATATACCACATAATTAAAGTCACGGGCGTTAAGCTATAAATTTAATAAAATATAACCTAAAAAAAAAAATTATGACGCTAAATTGGAAAGTTCTGCTGACGTTCAGATGTTGCTACTTGTTAGACGTATTATTTTATTATACTAATCTCTTTAGTCCTACTGCGTAGAAAAAAACAAGGCTTTTTTATACAAAGCTCAACATGTTGGCATAGATGCCTCTTGAGTCCCATTTTGACAAACAAAATGCGGTCCATTTTATTAGTGTTCTACAATTCCTGCGGGATTTACTATATTCTGTGACACTAAAACGATCTTTTCTTTTAATTAATAAAATCTGTTTATTTAATACGTTTGTATAGGACTAAGTAACACCTTTATTTTTGCCAAGTTTGATGTCTCCCCCGCTGTACTTATTATCTAAAATATATAGTAGTGTTACTTAACCCGGCCTTCTCTTGGGCAATATCAACATCACGAATAGTTTTCTGTGAAGACTGATAACTGGCGGATTATAATGGAGTACGGAAACAGACGATAAACAGAGATCCACATGGAGAATCCGCGTGTTATACATGTACAAAATACATGTCAAACATGAGCTCATGTCAACTCCAAAGAAAATCTATGTAAACTAAAAGCCTAGCGTTTAAAAAGGATTTAATTATAACTTTAAATCAAAATTAAAACAAATAAAAGGGACATTAACGGAACACTTTATTAATAGTAATGTTACTAAAACCTATAGAATCAACAGCCTTCAGTAGCAATCATGTGTTCACCGTCAACTTCTGACGATATCAAACAAGTCTTATAATCACCTCGTGACTTACAAATTGATTTCAGTATTCTTTATCGTGTTATTGAATAGACATACTAACAAAAAAGTAATTTTTGCAAATTAAAAAAAAAAAACTGTTATCAATAAACTCACCGATATCTAACGCAAATGAAAGCTCCATCACCTTTCACGAAAACCTCATTTTCTTGGCCGCAAACATCCTAATATCCATATTCTAGCTCTAACCGAGACCCGGGCTTATTTCAAATTCGGGTATCCGTCCCGGATGATCGCCCTTGAATACCGGATTAAGACCCGGGCGTTATCTTCTACGGCACAATCATTTGGTCCAAGAACTCGGTCCTGCCTGTCAGCGTTTATTCATTTGTCGATAATGTACCTTAGTAGGCATAATCTGTGGCTTACAACCATCTGCCTAATGTGTGGAGGGAAACCGATATTTTTTGTGTAGCTTTTTGTTTCCGAAATTGTCGGAATCTGCGAATGTTTTTTTTTTGTTGGAATAGAAGGGTTTTGAAAAGGGAATCTCGTAGATTTGTGCGAAAACTGATACTTTATTGTTTGGGTTGTGGTGTTGTTTTTTTAAAGTAAATGAAAATTGTATTTAATTAAAAAGGTCATAGGACTCGTGAAATGTATATTGTACTTTTTGCTCGCGGCTTCCCCAGCTTGAAATCGTCTTTAATTTCACGACAAACAAAATAAATATTTTAAATAATAAATATTAATAATCCTTGTTAAATATGTTGAACCATCACGGATGTAACGAGCAAAGATAAATTATTGTAAAGATAAATTATTACTTTGATTATGTTGTTATAGCAATCTACATAATCACTCGTCAATAGTAAGATGTTAATAAATTTGCATTATTAATTGCCTTAGCCTGATTTTTTAATTGTAACGATTTTCTAATATACCGAAAATAGGAAGTCTTAAAGTGCTTTCTATTCAGTCAAATTTAATAAAAATTGACAGAAAATGACAAAGTTTCTGTCAATTTTGTAAAATAACTCAACTACAGCAAAAGCAAACTAAAAAAAGGACAATAATCAAAACTCTGCAGAAATGAATTAATCAAAATAAGCTATAAAAATATTTCCAAGAATTTTAATTAACTAAGGAGCAGTTCGCGTTCTTCATAATAATAATAGGTCACCCACTTAGCAGCCCGTCTGTCTGGGTGTCACCCAGACCATAATTCACATTTTTATTTCAGCACTTTCCCAATCACAATGATTCACTACATTCTTCAACGCTCCATGACATGTAATGGAGCGTTGAAGAATGTAGTGTAGTGTGTGTAGTAGGGTATCATGTAAATTTAACATTATTTTTAGGCATACGAGGGATGCCTTTTAAGTTTTATCGTTTGAAGAAAAAAACACAACTAGAATGTTACAGTACTTTTTATTGTTTTTCACAGTATTCACCACGTAGCTTAATACACTTTTCCATTCGCTCAAACCAGTTATTATAACATTTATTCCACTCTAAAGTAGGGGTTTTCAAAATGGCTGACTTAAAGGGGCGACTACTTATTCACCGGACTGGAACCTTTGACCATGAAGACTTTTCTTAATTTTAGGAAATGTAAAGAAATCCTTAGGGCTTAGGTCAGAACTGTATGGAGGATGGTCAAGATTTTTTTCCTTTTTCCTGCTTCAAATACTCAATCGTTTGACGAGCGCTGTGTGAGCTTGCGTTGTCGTTGTGCAGGATGATGCGTTGCTTTGAGTTAGATTTTCGAAGTTCGGCGATGACTTGTGGTAAACAAACTGTTGTATACCACTCAGCGTTAACCGTTCTACGATCTTCAAGTGCAATAGTTTCCAACGAATGTTCACCATCTTCTTTGAAGTGCTTCGAGAACGAACATTTTTAGTCGGCATTGGCTCGTCTTGAAAGACCCAGATTGTAGATTGTTGGTTGGAATCAGGATCGTAGGCATAGATCCAAGATTCGTCACCACTGGTGATGTCGTAGACGTGATTTAACTCTCCTTGGTTGAACCTTTGCAGAGTTTTCTTACAGCATCTAACGCGGGCCGCCTTGTAATCGTCGGAAAGCAAATGCGGTATCCAACGGCAAACTTGCTTTCTCACACCAAGCGCTTCATGCAAGATCTTCTGAATTTTGTCCCTGAGATGCCTAATAGAGCCTCTATCTCTCGATGCGTCACATGACGATCTTCAAGAATTAGTTGTCTCACAGCAATGATGTTATCTTCAGTGAAGGCGGATTATAGGCGTCCTTCGTTAGATTTGTCACTAACACTAGTATGTCCTGGCTGGAATTCTAAATACCAGCGTTCGACAGTCCTCAGACATGGGGCTTTATCACTGAACACATGACTGCACGGATGGCGTAGTGGTTTAAGCGGTCGCCACGCCGCTTCCTACTACGCCGAGTGTTGTGGGTTCAAACCCCACATGGGACGACACTTTGTGTGATCCACAAATTGTTGTTCTGAGTCTGGGTGTTCTTTGTGTCCGTTTCATGTATGTTTGTGAAGTCCCCGCGACACAGGATTTATTCCTAATGCGGGAGTTGTTTAAAAAAAAAAAAAAAACTAACTTGTGGGACTTACGTTTTTTAAATCTTATGTTTAAATGTTATATTTCTAAATAACACTTCAATTGAAATGAGAGCAGGGCGAGTTTAGTTTAAAGTAGGTCAAGTTTCCTGAAACGCGATGTTGGCCTAAAAATAACTTAAACATGATACAATTTTGAGATTTCAGAATTTATTATAGTTGACGGTATTGCTTAAGGAGCTTTAAGCATGTATTTTGAGTTTTTAAAGTTATTTATGAACCTTGCTAAGTTGGAAAAATCAAGGTTTTGCAATAAGCATATTTTGGTATATCTAAAAATTTCTTGTTTATGTCTATTAATAATTTATTAGTTGTAGTTTTAGTTTTTTATATAGCCCAACACTATCAATAATGTATTAGGGTTAAGTGGGGTGTCTATGTTAAACTGCTAATTGATATCGGTAAATAAAAAAAAGTTATAAGTAGAAAATTTGGTAGCATGGTCTGAACATTTCAAATACCTTCCAAATCCTGCGCCCAAAGTAAAAACGTAAAATGTATACCTTTTTCCGCTCATATTACTTAAAGGTAAACTTCCCACGCGCCTGATAAACGTGGTTGTCAATTTTTTATGCAAATCTACTACCTATGGGTGTTCAATTTCTTATTTTGAGAACGATCCTTTGGTTCTATTTTGGAGAGGGTATCTTAATTTCCATTCCGGAGATTTGAATGTTCGCTTTGAGAGCTTTGAAACAAGCGAGGGACGAGGAATGGTCACGTGACGTGGACTTGCTTAATGTTCTGGAATGTCCTTCGTTTTATTTATATTAGGCGTGTGTTTGTTTTTTTTTTGGATGCTGCTGAAATTTTATTTTATTTCGTTGTTTTATATCTGCAGCTTTTTATTCTGAATTTTATTTTTTTACATCACGATTGACATTTTAAAATAAGAACCAAAGGCAGGCTGACTTTAGTTATTTATATAATAGAAATAACATTTCTTTTATTACCGAATGTATTTTCAACTATTTTAAAATATATTCTTATCAGACCTATTTCTTAGCGTTCTATGGATTCACCGTGCGTGTGCCGGGTCCATCGCGTGATAGATTGAATAAAGAAATATGTCTGGTCTGGACGCCGAGGCACAGATATCCTCCGGTATTCTGTATTGATTTTCATACGTGTCCACTAATAATGTCCAGTCAGTGGCGGTATTTATAATTGAGTACGGCTTTTCTGAAGTTTTTTTGTTGAGCCTTATTAAAAGAGAAAAAGCTTTTGTTTAAACTATACACAAGAAACTTGATAGCATGACTACTAAAATCCATTTCGCTGAGAAGGCTTAATTTCAACACTCGAATCTTAAAAACATCCGTACATAAATATCATACATACAAACCCATTACACATCCGTGTGGTGACGGATTAAAAATACAAATTGTCACCACCCCAATTCATTCCGTGGGTGTCGTAAGAGCCGGCTAAGGGAGCAAACTAAGCAGGACAACAGCACTGCAAAGAGAAGGAAAACTTGAAATAAACCCTATACCAACCCGTCTGGCCAGCGTGGTATAGTAGGCCAAAACCTCATTTCTAAGGAGACTCCTATGTCCAGCAGTGGACTAGTATAGGCTGTTGATGATGATGATGATGAAACCCATTAATTTTGGAATAAAAATGGTGTAGATTGAAATTAATTACAATTAGCTGGGACTGAATGAACTAATCTTATAAAACATCATCAACAGCCTATCGCAGTCTGCTGCTGGACATAGGCCTCTCCTATTGAAAATAAAAAAAAAACATAAAACATATTATTATAATACTCCCCAAATGCTAATCTGCTAAAATAGAAATGTATGTCATATAATTATATTACATGTACGTTGTAGGTACTATGATGTTACAACATTTGCTAAAATATTTTTTTAGCGTGAGAAGTAATGTAAGAAAATTTATGCAGCCACTTAATATTCCGAGGGTTTATAAGATATCGGAAGCATTTCCGTACAATTATGCATAAATACACAGCTATCGAACGAGTCGGGACTGTGATAAAATTGCAGGTTGATGTCGCCTGCCGGTTGAAATAAATATTCGTATTTCTTATCGTTACATAGAAGACAGATTTTTCAAACATTGTACTGACTGCAAATCTATGTTCTGAGTAAAATACTTTACTAGTGGTTACATAGAGATTAATTCATTAAAAAATTGGAAAGTTATTCTGTCTAAGGTAGAAAAGTAATAAATTATTTTGTCTTGTCTATCTATGCCATATACTATTGCTCGTAACTGATGATTTTGTTCAGTATTTATTTAAATGTTTTGTTTTTATTCTTATTTTCCAACAGACGCAACCTGTAATATGGTATGAGAACGAGCCACCAGGCCAGGTAGTGGTCCTGAGTGCCAAGGATTATGACTCGACGGAGAATGGACCTCCTTTTACATTTGCACTGAATGAATCTGCCTCCTTTGATATTCGTTCTAAATTTCACATACAAGGTAAGTACGCAAATATTTAAGTATTATTATATTTATTATTAAAATATTTAAGTATACTGGTAGAATTATATATTATTCATGGAAATCGAGGGAAAACAATAATCGTCATTAATATGTGAGTGTAATAGTGAGATGATGGGATTTAATTTGATTCAATTGCTAAAATTATTAATGTTGAAAACTTTGAAAATTCTAGTGGCGATGACCAGACTTAAAAACGATAATGAATTGAAAGAGTACGCTGAAAATGTAGGGCTTGAATTTATTTATATGATAGAAGTGAATATTGAAGATAAAAAATAGAAAAAAAAACAAAAATAGAAAAATAGAAGCACTTTATCTTAAAGCATTTTGATGAATGTCTTTCTCTCCTCTATTTAAAAACAACATGTAAATTGTAATTATATATCCAAATAAACTGAATTCATTGACTTTTTGAAGTAAAATATTATAAAATCAAAAATATTACAATCAATCTCAACGAATCGATTTACCAGAGGCATACCAAATGTACAACACGAAAAATATGTTCCTCGTCCTTTCACAATACTCCAATTGACACGAATTCCAGTGAATTCCTTCTAGGTTGAACTGAAAACTTTCTCCATTCGTCTCCTGAGCAATTCCGATTCAATTCAGTGGCTCCCATTCACGACAGCTAGAAATTTTCAGAGACTCCCAAAGTCGAGTTTCGATCAATTAGTGTAGTTAACATGCAATAAATGGTGCCAAGCCTAACTTTGTTTGGCAAGTGTCAATTCAATGTCACTCAACGCCATTTTGGTCGGCATATTGATAAGTTTGTATTTGATATTTGTATAAGGTTGTTTTTAAGAGTCGAGTGTAGAAATGTTAGCCTTCTTCGCTACATCGATGTTATTAGTCGTTTTAGCAAGTTTCCTGTGTACAGCTTTGAACAGAAGCTGTCATTTAACGTTATGACATTAAAATGAAACAAGTTGTAACTTGGTTCAATTTGGAGGAAGATTCAATTAAAAGTTTATTACAAGTTGCGCAGGTATCTCAGTTGTCATGTGGATCTAACATTTGATTAATCATTTGTTGAGTAAATTATAAAACTGATTTCAGTTTATTGGGCTATGTATAAATCTACTATATCTTTTTGGTGTTAAAATCAGTGGTTTATAGGTGTGTTACAAACTTTAAAATCTAGTTTGAAGAGTTTGGAAGAAAATACCACGTTACAGAATTAACATATGAATTTGAACGATAAGTCCATTGTATTGGAATAATAATGTCGAGAATGCCCGTCTATTTGCTGTCCCGATAGGGCTCCAGGCCTGTTTTCAAAGAGTGGGACGTCCTGCCACAACTTTTTGAGGAGGGATACTAACAGTATGCTCTTGTCTTTAATAAATAGGTCCAACAACTGTATCTCACACTTAATAAAGACTTTACCGGTGGTACAATAGTTTTATGACAAAAAACTTAAATGTAATAGGGAATAATATTAATAAACAACTTCTCAACAATTCACGCACGTAAAAACATAAACGAAATACATAAATGCACATACACACAGCATATACAGTCATGTTTATGACTATTTGTTTGAAATCTATAAAAAAACTAATCAAATTATATTTTTTTATCAGGCAACATCTTGTCCACGCTCGTATCTTTCGATAGAGAACAACGAAAGGAGTACAGAATCCCAGTAGCCATCACAGACTCCGGCACCCCCAGGCTGACAGGTGTGTCCATCCTTCATGTGGTCATCGGTGACAAGAACGACAACCCCATGGCACCCGGACATAGTGACATCTTTGTGTACAATTATAAGGTATGTATATTATTACTACTTACGAGTAATTCGGCTAGTAAGCCGAATTAAATGAAACATATATACACATATACAGTAGTCGCAAAAAACAAATAAGAATATACTGTGGTGTAAGCGTAAATTTTGTATTTACGTGGTTGCGGCTCGAATACATATATTTACAAAAACTAATATCTAACTAGCCGAAAACGAAACTAATTAAATTTACATAACATAAATAGTAAATAAGCCGTGAGAATGTTAAAACATTTTGATATTCAGCTACATATTTAAAGGCCTATTACATTGCGAATAAAGTGAACCGACAAAGGCTAAAAAGATTTCTCCTATCCCTTCAGGGACCATCACATTTTTCCTTTGAGCCACCAAGAAGACCTTTTAATATCGGTCGCCTTTTAGTTTCCTGGTTATGTTTAATTTAGCGTAACAGATGTTTTTTTAGATATGTTTCCACATATTAATTTTTATTAAATCTTAACCATCCAGTACAATTACCCGACTGAATTAGATTTTTTGACGATTCAATGATAATAGCGCATTTAGTGTATGCTAATCTAAAAGGAAATAATTATTTTTAAATTTTGCAATTGTCGCAAAAAAATTTGCCGTTTTAGAACATCACTCCGTGTCCTTTTTTTTGTTAAGATGGAAGCTTTTTTAATTTTTTATATAGGTATCTAAGTACATTTTTCTGTTACTTTTTTAAACCTAAAATATATCCCTTTGCTAGCAAGTCTCATTTTTTATTCTGTGATATAAGGTGGTCCGTAGCGAACAACAAAACTGCTATACATAATATTACTATTATCATACTAATTATGACATATCTGAATACTTTGCTGTATACCTAATATGTATTTACTAATTCGTTACTATATTTATGTATGTTTGATAAAATTTTAACATCAAAATTGTTTTCTGTGCTGCATCAGCCGGAAACCTACTTCAATGAGATATTGTACAGTTGGCGATACTATGTGAGTATGAATTGGCATTATACATAGTTGTTTTATGTTTCCTTTGCGTCGTTCGTCTCTAAATTTATCTTTTTCTTTCTATACAAATTGTATTGGATGGCGTTTTCACTATTGGAAATTCTGAACTCTTGTGTTCTTTTGTTTATTTCTTCTTGTTTTTTTGTCGATGGGCATTTTAAAATTTTCCTGTGTGTTGGATAGTAGATACATATTATTATTTTCTCTAGATAATTTTAGTCCTTTTTCAAAAATAGGCGAGGATTTATCGGACATAGACTATAGTTTATTGATGTATTGCAGTATTTGGGGTAAGTTATTCCAATTCCTAGTTGTCCAACGTACACAATATGAGTTCTGCCTCAATATGTTGTTACCAAGAGATCGCAATTTGTCTTTTTACGCCAGGAGTGATCGCTTTCCCAGTGTCCATATCTAATAATGTTAATTAATTGATCTTTATAATTAATGATGATTCAGACATAGTTATTTGAAATTGGAATCCTATCAAGTTCGTTTATAGATAACTAGATTAACCATGAACGGGGATGGATATCCTGAAATTTTCCATTTTGCGGTCTCGTCATTTCCCGACCTCTATTACGGGGTAAATAATATTTGCTATATAAACTATGTACATTCGCTTTTATTTTTCGCCTAACGTATTTTAGGGATTACTCACATTACATATATTATTTTATCCATATATGTATTCTGATAAATTTTTAAATTACAGCTGTCTCTCACGATAGAGTTTTTAGATTGACTATTTACGTAACTTTAAACATTATTTCGTTCACTTATTGCAACAACGTCATTTTCAAAATTGACGGAAACGACGACGTAACGTTTTTTGTAATAAGTGAGCCGTTTCAACTTTGGAATCTAATTAATAATCCAGCTACAATATGAAATTTGTGTAAATGAACTTATAAGTAATCTTCTAGGAGATACAAATTGCTTTACTTCACACAACCAAGTTTATTCCTGAAGCGCCGCCAAAACACAAACATATCATGTCTTATAAAAAACGTGTAACCGTACAACTGTATCTCGAGTTCCGCGACATTACGGCTGCTGAGAGCGCAATAATCACGTAGTACATTTTTCTTCCCAAATTCCCAAGGATCTATTTTATTTGTCTAACATTTCTTAAAGGTTAATTTCATTAGACCGTTTGTATTCAGCATCGCGGGGTATAACGATGTGAATTATGGAAATATATGTATTCTTAGAAAGTGTATATACTGTACAGCGATTACGCAGGTGACGTTTAACAAATATTTTTTGCACTAACATCTAAAGACGCTATATTATTAAAGATAAATATTGATTGAATATCGAGTCATAGAATAAGGTGACAAAATTCTGAATATGTGATTATTTGTTTCTGATTTTATTAAGAGGTATAAATTAATAAGAGGTATAATAATCACTGGCTCACAACTTTTTGTATTGTAATCTCATACAAATACTTAACAATTTTAAGCACAACACGGTTTTAAAGTGAATATCACGTAACTCCCAAAACCATTGTACTTATGATCATCTCCTAAAAGATTCCCTTTTAAAAAGTATTTTGTAATAAAAATATACGACGATATCTTGTGGTACTGGACAGTCGTACCCTTTATATTTTATTAACCTGAATGTTTTTATTTGTGCTATAAAACGATAATAACCTTCATTTATTACTGTCCGCGTATAAATATTATACGAGAAGTCCTTTATGAATTATGTTATGTCGACGTTTCAATCGGTCAGTCAAAGAACCCTTAAATGTTCAAAGTAAGCCTTCAATGGACCATTTCTGTCATAATGTTTTTTTTTTTGTTGATTTGAAATTAAAAGTAAATGTTTGTGGCTCTTTCTGTTTCATATGCGCTAAAGTAACCAATATATTTTTTTCTGTATATATTTCAATCCGCTTCAAACAAAATGTTCGTAATGCAATAAAATAAAAATTATGTGGAAATAAAATTTTAGAGTGCATAGCTATTAAAATTTAATGCTCTTAGGAGAGTGATATTTTAGATCAAATTTTTTTTGACGTTATCATGCTTTTTTAACTTTGAATGAATGTTCACTAATGTTTTAAACCAATACATTTTGCTTAACAACGCAGTAATAAAAATTAAATTAAGCCACTATGTTATGATCTGTTCAAGCTTATCCTGACAATTAACACTTTAAAAACCATTTCTCTTCTGCTTTTTATTAACAGTTTTGAAGTGTATTTCAGTTTTCCAATGCTAATTCCAAACGCTTAATACCACTACAAAGAATATCCATTAACGCAGAGCTATTGTTTTCGTTCAATTCAGCGGTTTCGGCCAATGAATAATAAAGACTACAGATTCGATACTCCATATAAACCTTTACGATAATGTCCGTGTTTTATAATAAATATATGGCTATTAAAATGTTAATTTTGTGCTTTAATGAAAGAGGGTTTAGTACGGTGCGTGGGGTATAAACAGGGATTATGTTGGGAAGGCACTTTTTACTGCTCTGCCCTGATTTCTAAGTAATAGCGGGTCGATGTGTGCTGGCGACGTGTGTTCAAGTCTTCTACCTATGGGCATATCGAATTCGACTTTAGTAACAAGATTAAGGGAATATTACTAGTCCTATCAGTATCAAATATTACGTGATTAGTTCTAAATTTTGGTTTTCGTTCTTAGTTCAAAATTAAAAATACGGAATAAGAAGATTCATTATTGCTTCCATTTGTAGAGATTGGAAAATCTAAAAGGTTTGAGTTAAACAATAAATTAAGAGTAAATTTAAAAAAATGTTCAAATGAAGTGAAAAGATTTAGACAGAGTTTGAAAACGCGCAATGTCGATCGCGGTGAAGAGTAAAACACTTAAAACCGTACTCTTAACCGTAGAAGACTAAAAAGGATTCTCCTTAAAATAGGTCTGCATGTTTGGAAAATGAATTGTGATTATATAGTTAATTATTTTAAAGTAAAAATTAAAATGTGCGGTTGTTCTTAAGTTTGTATTTCTTTAATGTGCAACTTGTGTTGGTTCCCTATCTAGGAGCGGACACAACTACCCTCAACGGTATCACGAACTGCACTGATAATTTTGGTGTTACAAGGTGCATATTTAAAAAAAAACATTGTCTTCATACCATACGTGTTTTTGAACTTTTTGCAAATTTAGAGATAAATTCCATGCGTGCAGTTGTACAGCAATCACTTAAACACAAGGCAGAGATTCACTTAAACCGCTTTTCTCTTAATGAAAGGCCGACTTCCTCACAAATACCATTTAATGCGCGTTTACTATAAACGCTACTGGAAGATAGTAACTTGATCGATTTTTTGTTACCACAGACCAGAGATGTTCTCCATTATAAATATTTCTCATACTAGGGAGTTATTTCAATAGTGAAATAACTCCCTAATATGAGAGATATTCATTATATCCTTACTATCATTTTGTCACTTAGAATGATCAACATCACAGGTTGATCGTTCTGAGTGACATAATGAAAATAAGGATACACGGTATCTCCCCTCTTTCTTTTTTTTGTACAAGGAAGTTGTTAAAGAATTTTTCAATATGAATATCATGTCAAAAGTATAAAACGTTGGCATATTAAGAAATATAGTGACTTGTTTTGATATAATTACATTTTAAAATTACAACACTTGTTTCATAAAATTTGTGTCTCTCTGTTTGTCTTCTGCCCAAACCTGAAAGATTGAATCTGAATAGTCCAATACTCAGCTTCTATCCAGCAACTTGCTTGTGTCAATGCTCCTTTCTTTGTTCCTTATTGGTTTTAACGATCGGCTTAGTTTGATTCAGTCTAAACCAGGGATTGTGTCCAAAACTCGCACACACAAAGTTTACTCGAAAAGCTATCGCAGCCATAATTGATCCGTCGCCAGCAATTTCAGTCAAACTTTAGAAAATTAAGTTATTCGTCGGTAATTACAATTTACTTAGTTTTTCAACTAAGCGTCCATCAGTTGATGGTTTGAAATTTAGTTTGAATTTGTGATAGTAATACTTAATAGAATTTGGCTATTATTTCGAGCTAAACCAAAAGTTTGATTAAAATTGAGTTAGTTTTAAACATTAGAGTTTATTATGCATGAAGTTCGTTCTATTGCTTTTTGAGCCTCGACGATTTTTAAATATAAATTGAAATCAATGGAATACATTCTGTTATGTAAAATATACACGATATTTAAAAACGGATCCTATTTTTGAGATAACAAAACACTTGTGTGTATTATAATGTAAGGTATATGAAGTAATAAACTGCATCACAATGGTGAATATTTGAACTTTTATTTTTGCTTATTTTGTATAAAGTATTTAATAAAATAGGCCATAAGTGCACTCTGGGTTTTGAATTTCACATTTAAAGAGTCGTGATTCAATCACTTTTGATTGATCGTGGACAAATCATGTTGTGTTAACTAAAATAACTCCTACCTACGAGATGTAGAATAAAGAAAAAATTTTAAGCTTTGATTTATACACACGGTAGTAGTTTACTTTCTTTAATTTGCAACTTGTAAACTTTGTACAAAGAAAGTCACAACCTTGTCGAAAGAAACTTTTAGCAGGTGACTGGTGGCTGCTTTCATAAATCCACCTACGGTTTTATTGGAAAATGAAATTGTTTTTCCTAATAAAATAATGTTTACCTTTACAAGTAGTAGTAAGTATCTACCGTTAATTTTATATATCACGATTGAGACGTCACTCGTGTTATATGATGTTGATTGGTGTATTAAAATATGTTTCGGTAAATACACGTCAATTCAATTTGTTGTTTTCGAATTGAATTCTTAACTAGCTCTTTTTTATGCGTGTCTATTGATCATGATCTGTTTCATAGTGATAACTTTAGTTTTCTAGCTTACTTATTTTCAACAAAACGAAAATACCATCATAAATTATCCAACAAGAATAAGCCCTAGTTAAGCAAGGACTTAATTAAAGCTAGGGTTCAGTAAACTATGCAGGTCAACACATTACTGCAACGAGACAAAAAACTTGATACAAACCCTATATCAACCCGTCTAGCTAGTGCGGTATAGTAGGCCAAAACCTCCTTTCTAAAGAGAGAACTATCCAGCAGTACAGCAGTGGACTATTAAAGGTTGTTGATGGCATTTCAATTTTGTTACGTCTATGCCAAATAATAATCTTTTATAGTAAATGACTACCGTGACCCACAATAGACATCTTAAAATAAGAGAAAATTTTACCCAATAATTAAACATGTCGTTTGAATACTAATTGTGGTTCATAATTGTTAATTTTTATTAAAATTACTTCACATCTACCATCGATGAAGATTGGTATTTCTATAGGCCTGTTAATTACGAAATGAATTGGAAATTTGGCGTTCCGGTAAATTGGACCCAAATAAATATCTTTAATTAGTTGTAACTGGCAACATTGTTAATAAAACTCAAAGGGTAAAGGGAATAAGTAAATGTTTTATTATCTATGAATTCCGTGGGGTAAATAATATCAAAATACATATAAATTTGATGTTTTGGAAATAGTTGGTCAATAGTCTTGTTATCTATATTAGTTTCTACTTTATAAAATATTTAAAATGAGAACAAATTTTGTTTATGCAGGTTTCAGAGTTAGTCCAGGCACATTGACTCATTTACAGAGATAAAAAAAGAAAAATGTTATCCAGATACATACCTTTTCAAATGGTTAAAAGGGTTAAAGTCAACATAAGGAAAATGAGTTATGTGCCCAAGAAAGTTAGGGGATGATTTTAATTTTAGGGGAACTTTTCTTATTAAAGTAAAAGTCGATCGCATTGTATGTACTTACCTGACATCTTTCAACTACACGGAATATGCTATTACAATGTTTATAGCAGTATTGTACAAAAATAAAAAATTTATTTAAATAGGAAAACATATGTTCCTTCGTGTTTTTTCCCGTACAATTCAATGGTCTTATTAGTTTTTGAATTATTTTTTTATTTATAACAAATTATTAACAATAACCAAAAAATTTGTTTTTGCAAAATGAAGTTTTTATATTTTTAAATTTTTAGACATGTTTTTAAATGAAAGCTGTATTGTTTTATTATTTCATTAAAAAGTAGACGTCAAAACGAAAAAAATGAGCCCTGTATGACCTCTCTACGATGATTGTAAGTAGTAAAATGTAACTTTGAAAATAACGTGTCTCGGACCGAAATAAATGAATTTTTCAAACAGGTTTTAATATTTCAATCTAAAATTTTGTTTTTGTTGTTTGGGACACAAAAAGGAGTACTTTCAGCAAGTTAGGTTTAAAAATATTTATTTTTGAGAAATTGACAAGTAAAAAACGAAAAACAATTTTTTTTTTGATTTATTGCATTTTTTCTGAAATTTTGAGGTTATATTAAAAAATGACCCATACAAAAGTTGTAGATTTTTCCAAGATCTACAACTTTTGCATTTAACGTTTTTCAGTGGGACATCAAATTTCGCGTGAAATTGCAAAAAACACGAGATGTATCCATTTTCCCCCCTTTTCAACCCCTAAAATTATCCCCTAACTTTCTTGGGCACATAACTCATTTCCTTATGTTTACTTTAACCCTTTTAACCAATTAAAAACGTAGGTTTCTGGATAACATTTTTTTGTTCTCCATATTCAACGTGCCTGGACTAAGTAACACATGTGAAATTTAGAAGCTTTAGGTAAATTTAAGGAGGGGTCGGGATGTCGAAATAACAGCAGTTCCGGCATCCTAGGCACGGTATGCCACATCGTGTGGCTTAGTTGGTTCGATTCCGTCACTCCACCCCACCGCAAACCCCGATGAGGTGATGGACCTAGACCTAGAGAGTTTACACAAGAACAAAAAAGGGCACATTTAGGGAATTGTTAGAGTGAGTGAGAATAAGGCCTAGCAATGAAAACTTAGTTTTCTTGATTTCCTTATTACATATATATTGTGTAATACGTTTGAATCTTCATTGTCTGATTAATAGTTTTTTTCTTATTATAATCATGTGTTGAAAATAAATTATACTACAACGGGGTCTAGTTATCATATAATTATCGTTTAGTATGAGGATTACAATTACAATTTAAGTAGTGGAACTGGGTCTATTTTTCTGGGTTACTTTGATACATTTCTGTAATATTTATTATAAACCTTGGTTGAAATTTATTATGATTTAAAATATTTGTTTTGGATAATCCGTTCTCCAAAAAAATACAATAGGCCCTTTTTTTCAGGTTCATTAACTTTTTGCTATTTATTTAATTGGAGTTTTATTTATAAACATACAAACAGGTGAATATTATTATACAAGCTTTGAGAAGCGGAATATCTGATTTAAAGGATGTACTTTTGTTCAACTTTTAGAAACTATTTGAGGGGTCATTTCGTTTAAAAAAAACATGGCTCCTTTAATTTAAATTTGGAATGTAATTTATTATTTGACTAACGCTTAAGCACACAGGCACACCTGACATTTTAGGTTGACAGGTGTGAGTATGTTGTCTTTGACCAACGGTCCTACTTATTAAGAACATTAAATGAAGGATTCTTGAGACTAAAGCAAGAGAAGTCTTAAATTTGTTTTGCTTCTCTGTAAAAATGATCATGAAAAATTGCAAAACTAAAAACGAAATACAAATGAATAAAAAAATGGAACAAACGTAACCTTATTTAAATTTACAATTAACTACTATTAAAACATAATTTTATTGTGCTGCGATATGTGTATGGCAAAAATAATGCTATTCCAACGTATTGTTATTTCTACCCCCACTGCAACAAATACCAAAAATTAGGTACATAAATGTGACCTGTATATATGTCTGTCCCTATCTCACTGTAACTGAGGCTTCGTTCATGCATATGTCACCATGTGTTGATTTTCTTCTAAGTCAAAAGCAGAGTATCAAAATTAAGCTTTTCTAAAAGTGATTACAAAAAATATATACTTTTACATACTATTAGTATAACTTATATCTAGGTAATAGTTAGTTTTTAACGTATTTTTCTGCCTTAGGGTGAAGCGCCGGACACGGAAATTGGTCGTGTTTACGTCGAGGATCCAGATGATTGGGACTTGGCTGACAAGCGGTTTATGTGGCTACCTTCATACGAACAGAGGAGTCCATACTTCGATATTCATAGCAACACCGGTATGATCACTATGAAGGAGGGAACGCCTAATGGAACTTATTTGTTGCGGTTTAATGTGAGTATACATTGAAAGTCACAGTCTAGAAATTAAAGGAGACTCATTGGTCAACGGGCCTGTGGGTCTAGTTTTTAGTGACCCTAACTACTAAGCAGGAGACAGTGGGTTCGATTCCCACCAAGGTCAAGTAATTCTGTGATGATCTGTTCTGTGTCTGGGTGTAAATCTATACTAATATTATAAAGCTGAAGAGTTTGTTTGTTTGTTTGTTTGTTTGAACGCGCTAATCTCAGGAACTACTGGTCCGATTTGAAAAATTCTTTCAGTGTTATATGGCCCATTTATCGAGGAAGGCTATAGGCTATATATCATCACGCTAAGACCAATAGGAGCGGAGCACCATTGAAGAATGTTTCAAAAACGGAGAAAATTTATTACTAATGAGAGACGCAGACGAAGTTGCGCGGGTCAGCTAGTTATATATATGTATGGATTTAGAAATATTTAAGTATACTCGTATTTATCAGCAATCTGGTTACTTGGAAGTTTTTTTCTTTAGATGAAGACATAAATGTATTTTAACTTGCACGAACTGAAGTCTTTAGTCTAAAAAATGTCTTTTCTTCCTATTCTGAACTATAGCCGATTCGCGCCATAAGAAAATAATGACGCATCGATCAAACCCCGCCTTCTGACCAATCAGGTTCCAAGTAATATTTGTTTCGTACTAAAGCGTGGCACCTGAATGGCAGGGTATGGGGCGAATGAACAATTAACGAATAGTTTTTTGTGCCATTTTTAAAGTTCCGCATTTTCACATACAAAGTTTTCCTATCCTTAGGTGACAGAAGAAAACGAACCTCTTGTACCCTTCCACTGGGTTGAAGCGACCGTCAATGTTACCATAAAGGAGATTCCTGAAGAGGCCGTGGACAAATCTGGTTCTATACGATTTGTGAATATCACAGCTGAAGAGTTCATTATTCCAGAAGCTGATGTAAGTAGAACTTAGTTAACAATTGAAATTTGAAGGCAGAGTTTTATCAGAGGTTTCAGGTTACAAATATCGAAGCGTACATAGCACCCTTCATTCAAAAGTTATTTCCTTATTTATTCATTAACTTGTCATTTTATGTAGGAACGTAATAGTAGCATAGGCTAGATATTAAACCGTAAAATTTATTCAGTATCCTAGTTAAAAAAATTCAAGGCAAAACCTTTTTAAAAATATCCCCCGTTTGCTACTTTCATGAATTTCTTAAAATTTTACCTACTCATTCTTTTACTGTACTAATTTAACGTTCCCTTATTTTTTGTTCTAATTGTAAAAAATTAAAAAAATGTTTGAGTCATGACGTTTTTTGGATCTTCTAATTTTGTAAGTTTCGAGGACATTTGTTGATGGAAAAAATCCCTCGCATTAAAACTTATTTTTATATACATTTGACCTTTTCTTAAAATTATTTGACTGAGGAATAAAAAATCTTGGATCGTCAAGTTTTCTTGCAAACTTATTTCCTTCAAACTCTTTAGGTTCAGTGGGCTTAAATGGTTTTGGTGAATAGGTATAAAAGCAGATATGTATCTATATTACAGTTTACACTTAAAACTCCGGTTAAAAAAAACTTAAAAAAAAACGGTTACTCCTAAAAAGTTATGTAAACTTTTTAGGAGTAACCGTCACTATCGACTGTTGGTAAATCGTCTGCGATAGCCTGCATAAATTTTATTTTAACTTCATCACTCAATGTTTCGGCCACTGCCAACCTCCTTGTAAATACTTATGTTAAGGATAATATTATAGAATATACTAACGTGGGAACGATTAATCGTCTGTTTGTGTGCCAAATAAAGCTGTTCATATAAACTTGCGTACTAAGTGGACACAGTGTTTAGTGCCCAAATTGCGCTATTTATGCCGGCCTTGGCCCAAATTATGTCGGTACAAAGTTCCTTAAGGGATTCATTGAGTTTAGTTAACGACTTAGAGGTTAGCGAGGAATTGGCTGTACTAGGTTACTTTGTCATCTTAGCTGTTACGGTTTCACTTTAGGAGGTAAGCATATATGTTTGAAAATTGCTATGCCCTGATCTGGGGCGATGGTATCTGTAAAAGTATCATAGTAAATTTATTACAATCTTTTACACAAGTGTAGTTCTCTCTGAGCAAGAAGCAATAACCTCCCTTCTAAAGCCCATGTCGTGCAGTGGATTAGTATTAAATGCTGTTGATGATGATGATGATGAAGTTCTTAGTATTTTCATAAAATTTATTTTGTAGATAAGTAGCAACTTTAAACATCAATTCAACTCACAGAAGTTGAATTGATATTTCAAGTTACTCGATTTATCAATGTTATTAAAACTAGATTTCAAAGTGCAATAAAATTCGGTACCAAGAAATTTTACACAAAAGCGAAGATAATTCCTAATATTCCGAATATTAACTTTCTTATACTAACTTTTAAACTTTCGCGTTCCATGATAATTAATATTATTTAACGGGAATTAACGCGATCTCTTATTTAGGGTATTACATACCTCTGGTTTGCCTGACGTTTCGACCAGGTTGCACCGGCCGTGGTCACAGGCTGACTCAGCCTGTGACCACGGCCGGTGCAACCTGGTCCGTTAAATAATATTAATTATTAACTTTCTTCTCAACCCACGCAAATTAACCTAAGACAAGTATTGAGGACATCATTTCCCGAATGAAGCTATCTAATGTGCATTCACATCGTCGCTCATCTCATCAGCTAATCATAACCCCTCTCTGTCTATCAGGGCACGAGTAAAAAGGACAAGCTACATAGAATGCTCGCTCGACTGTACAACACCTCTACGGACGATGTCGATGTGTTCACTGTATTCACCAAGAATACGGTGAAGGATGTGTTTCTTGATGTACGGTTCTCCGCACATGGATCGCCTTATTATCCGCCAGAGAAATTGGACAGCATGGTCGTTGGAATACAAGAAAAGGTTAGTACATTTCGTTTTACGAAAGCTGTATATAAGAATAAAACCTTTCGTGAATGGTATGCATATTTATAAAGGACCAGCTACTGACCACGGTTTCGCTCGTGTAATTATTCCTTGTTTCGTGTTTCAAACTTTGGAAATGAAGGACTTCCATATAACCGTTCATCCCTCATTTTACCCCCGCAGGGTGAAATTTCCAAAAATCTTTTCTTAGTGAGTGCTTACGACATAAAAAGCATTAGCTGCCAAAATTTCAAGTTTGTAGCCTCAGCGGTTTAGGCTTTGCGTTGATGAACACAGTCAGTAAAGGAAACCTCAAAAAAACTATATACCACTGTTGTATACATTTACGTTACGTTACGTTACGTAGGATAACCAGATCACCATGGAAAGTTTGATTAATGCACAGCTGACGGGACAATTTATGTTAACCATTCAGCATGTTTGATTGTGTAATTTTAATTAAAGTAATACGATGTGTCACAGTATTTTGAAGCAAAAATATCCTTTTTTTTTTAAATTTAAACTTAACTTGCAAAAGCATGAAATGACAATCTAAGAGCATAACATAGGTATGTCAGTATTAAATGTTACTTATTTTATTAAGGTAATTTTTACCAAGTGACTTGTAATAAAAACTATCCATAGAAACACAGTAATTCCATATTCTAATATGTTGCATTATATACAGTTGGAAGAAGAACTCCAATCGAAGATTTACATGGTGAAGATCGACGAGTGTTTAGTAGAGAAGGAACAATGCGAAGACTCTTGTAGGAACGTGCTGATGAAAAACAACGTGCCACAGTCCGTTTACACCAATACCACCAGTTTCGTGGGAGTATCGGCAAGGGTGGAGTCTGAGTGTACCTGTGATGTAGTTGAACCACTTGTGTGTTTAAACGGAGGTGAGCATTGGAGTTGTACATAGTTGTTGTTATTTTTCATTCATTTTTAATGTAGTCTAATAATTTTATATCATCTTGCTAATTATTTCGCAATATATTATTCGCTTTGGGCCTCCCAGAAGGGATTATTTTCATATATATTCTTATTATCATATATACGATGCCTCCACCATTTATATATATCTTAGAAAATGAAGAAATAAATAGCATACCAAGTTACCATTCCTCGCTTTCTACAATTCGGAGCTGTAAATAGCAGGAACAATGACACTTTAAATTACTACTAAAATTCTTGAAATTAACTGCTGACATTTTGTACAGGAACTCCATTCGCCGATAAATGCGAGTGCCCTGAAGGTCTGTCAGGACCTCATTGTGAACAGACTTCTATCGGTTTCCACGGCGACGGTTGGGCGATGTACTCCGCGCCACCTGCCTGTCAAGAAGGGCGCGTGACCTTGACTGTTACCTCACACTCTGGGAACAGTTTGATCTTCTACTTGGGTCCTTTGAAACATAATCCACTGCTGGAAGTTCAAGGTAAGATTGCTTTTCTTTTTTAAAAATCAATATAATAATAAGTAAATTGAATTCTTTTTAAGCATTTTTGAGGAAATGTCGCGAAGAGACAAGTGTCATATTCGAAATACTAAATGCTTATAATATATGAAAAGAAAGCAGAAAGCAAAAAAAAAATACATGCATTACAAATTTAAATATTACGTAAAAAGGGTGACATCAAAATGAATCCCCCGCATGATCAAAAGGTAGTACCGAAACAGACTCGTAAGGAAAACCGTATACGTATATTAATTAATATCTAGTAAGACTTTTTTATTGTACTCTGTGACATCGTAAGGACTCATAATGTACTACTGTAACATTGTCTAAAATCACGCATAAAACAAAATATGATCTACATCAAAATCCAATTATCTTGCCCTCGAAACAGCGTCATTTCGTCGCTCTCCAATTAGACGGGAAAAATGCCCACGTCACCGTCAAGGCCCTTCTGATACGATTATATAATTTTAACTTGTACTCTGTAGCATTCTGTGCACGAAATTATTATTTTGTTATGGGAGTGGTTTAATAAGAATCGTCTGGATTTGAATACAAGTGGTTTTTGTTTGTACCTACGTGTTTTCTTTTGTTTAAAAGTGTTACATTAGAAACAGTTCACTTAGTTATGTAAATAATTAAACTCGTTTTCTTCTTGATTGGGTTAGATTCTATATTTTAACCAGTTCATAAGAAATCTTTACCATCATCATCGACAGCAGCCTTTGTAGTCCACTGTGGGACATAGGCCTTTTGGCCTATTATGCCCTGGCCATCCGAATTTTTATAGGGTTTGTTTCAGGTTTGGTTACCGTCATCACGTAGATATAATATTAATTTCACCTTTATATAAACAGCGATATAGCCCGTAAAATATGTATTTCAGTCCATTTGTAAGTGTGGTAAGTGGACTAAAGAAATTAAACAAAATTTATAAGCACTGGCAACCGTTACTATCTCAAAATGGCAACCGTAGTTCCTATTATAATCACGCGCTACATCCTCGTCGTATATGTCGACCTAGCAGGTTATTTCAGAATGAAACTAACTTTTTAAATTGTATAAAAAAACCGCTTGCATTAAAAGCAACTTCGCAAAGATTTTATTTAAATTTCGAACTGGCTTGCGAATAAAAGACTAAAACATTGTTGTTATTTATCACAAATTTGACAAATGAAATCCAAAAATACCACCATACTACATTTTTTGCTTATAAGACGCTTTTAAATACAGAACAAAGTAAAATTATTCAGATATGTATAATAAAATTAGTATGACAGAATGAATTTAGAAACATAAACTCTACGGAGTAATTTAATTTAGTTCGTTATTTACAAATTAACGTTAATAAGGTCGTTTAAATTAGTTTCCACGCAATGTATTCTCACAGTAAAAGCAAATATCCGGGGCGAGTGCCAAATTGCCAATCTTGGTAAGTGGCGTGTCCACATCTTCTGTCACGAAGTGCTGAAGTATCCAACTGGTTAATTTCTTTGAACCTATTTTCACTATTTTACTTAACAGAACTTACCTTTTCGTATCATTTTAAATCATTGATTTGAACAAAATTCAAATGATAACAATTATGAGTGACAAGTTTAGAGAATTCTCTTAGGTCGGCATTAAGTGTACTTCGTTTCTAGTAATTTTAGTTTAAATTTATATATATATATAATTTATAAGTAATGATTAGTTAGTTAGTTCTTATTCGTTTGATTAAAAAGTTTATGATATCTTTATCATTAAAATGGTTGTAATAACTGATCTTCAATATAAAACAGGAGACTACTCCATTGTAAGATATGTGACAAATAAGAAGTGATACTACAATTAACTGTCCCTGTCATTTAAGGCGATTTTTCCCAACCAATCTGTGACGGATTCTTTAGGTACATCTAAAGTTTGGATTATATTTAAACTTTAACCAAAAAGGCAAATTTAAAACCAACTGTTAATGTGAACGCAAGTTAGAAAAAAGTAATATTTTGATTCTACAAAACACAATTATTGTAACAATGAACATGTCACACTGGATTGGCTTAACTACTTGAATAATGATTTCCTCCACAATAGCCCTTTCATTCACAGTAAAAAAATCGCTCCCTATTCATCACAACAATCATAGTACGTAATGGCGGCAAAAACAGCCAATAAGAAGGCCTCGTTTACATTCTTGAGAATGTGACGTATGTTACTTGCTGGCGCTTTACGTGGATTTATTATGCTTATAGAAGTGACCGCACTTCAAGGAATTACGCGGAAAGTTTTGACTTTGGAATTTAGCATTATAATAAGTTATAGTGTCAACTTGCTTTAGAGATTTTTAGACTTCCACACTAAGACAAGACATAAGCTCAAATTTTGTTGTGTTTTTTTCATGTTGTTGGGCCTGTGTTGTCTTACAGTGACTGACTGACTGGCCTGTTGGTCTAGCGGTTAGTAACCCTGACTGCTAAGCCGGAGGTCGTGAGTTCGATTCTCCCATCCAGGATTAATAGCTGTATATTGAGCACGATCATTTATTCTGTGTTTTGGTGTAATTTATTTATAACTAGCTGCACCCTGCAACCCTTCGCTGTGGCACATTGTGGTTGCAAAGAATAGATAAAAACCATTGTATATCGTGTCAAAATTTGAGCTCTATCGGCGCAGAACTTTTTGAGTTTTTGCATCGTACACATATCAACTTAACATCTTATATATAAAATTCTCATGTCACAATGTTCGTTCCCGTCCTCCTCCGAACCGGCTTGACCGATTCTCATGAAATTTTGTGTGCACATCGGGTAGGTCTGAGAATCGGCCAACATCTATTTTTCATACCCCTAAATGGTAAGGGTGACCCACCCCTAAATATTTTTTTGGCAAAACAACGTTTGCCGGGTCAGCTAGTATTTATATATACAGATACTCGTATGTATGCATTTAGCAGTATTTTAGTGTGTTTATCAGCAGTCTGGTTACTATGGCACAGGCTCTGACTAATTTGGGATTATACTGCCGTGTATGAGATGTGTGAAGGTATTATTGTTACAGTTTCTAATAAACGTTCCTAATTACTTATGTTTAGTAATTTCAAAGTTACACTCTTACAATGAACTAAACAGCGTAAGTGCCTATAACTAAAACTTGTAGAAAATACTCTACTTTCTCCGGATCTATTGAATCATAGTCAACCTATGCTTGAATGTTACGGTTGTAATGATTTTTTAATGATCACGTAATGACTGACAGCCGTAGACCATTATGATTTATGAAATGTACTATCGCGTGATAGGTGCGCGCCTGCGTTACTCAAGTTATGTAATCATTTTCACTCCAAAATTAGGGTTGCTCGAATTTCGGGAATAAATCAGATTATCAATCAATTCATTAATACTAATAATAAAAATGTAATCAATATGTACGTAATGTAATAAAAGAAATAATAATATTATAATAATATTCTCATACATTTCACACACGTCCTGTACAGACCCTGTACTATGGTAACCAGATTGTTGATAAACATACTTATATATTTCTAAAAGCCATACATATTCTAGATAAAGTACACCCAGACACAGAAAAATGACCTTGCTCATCACACAATTATTTGTCCTGGGTGGGAATTTAACCCACGACCTCTGGCGTAGCAGTCAGGGTCACTAACCACTAGACCAACAGTATAGTAGGCCAAAACCTCCTTTTTAAGGAGAGGCATATGTCCAGCAGTGGACTGCTAAAGTCTGTTAATATTGATTATTAAAGTCTGACTCCTTCCTGCTATCTTTAAACTATTTTTTATCTTATGCCTTCCTACAATAAGGTCAATGAATAATATTATGATTTAAATAATCATATTTGTAAAAAAAAATGTGTAATTAAAATGTATTTTGCGAGTATTAGTTATTGGTACACACATTAATGTAACTGCCACCCTTTTATGACGTAATTCTCGCATCACCTGTCACTTACAGATTACGTACTCGTTTCAGATTTCTGTAACTTCAAACAGGTCTACTCTGATATGCTGTGTACTGACCTATTTACATATTAATAAAAGTTTTCAATATGGCAACCCTAAAGCCAATACACCTAGCTTGTAAATAAATAATTAATATACGAACCACTGTAGTCGAAAACATCATTATCCTTGTTGTTATTCGGAATAATTACCAGATTGTAGGTAACGTTCTGGATATAGTTATGTAAATTGGTTTCACAACGTGACTAAGGGGGAAATTGTCAAAATAACATATTTAACAAACAATGTGGTTCACAACACATTACGAAGAGACGTTGAAGTGTTTCTGTTTGCTATACGTTTAGAATATCCCGTTTTTTCACTTAACTTTTAGACCGTGTTGCCACACTAAGTGTTGGAAAATTTGAGGTTTTAATTTATAAAGTATTTGATTCTGGTTTATGAGTGAATTTTTAAAATAAATCTAACTGAAAATAGTATATTCGGTGTCAAGTTGGTCTAGAAAAATCTTTATTTTCTGCAAAAAGTTGGCAACCCGTATAACACTGCCACAGTGTGTCATAGACCTGTAGGTACCTACTGCTCGTATAATATTTCTTATTATAATAAACGAGTCTTTCTATCTTATATAGTATATTCTATGATATCTTTTGAATTTAGTTTTTTTTTTAACTATTGTTAGTCTCTCTCTGTTCCTGACATTTCGTCCTACATGGTGTTGGGGTCAGCCCTCTTCGTGTATTGTTAGTGCTATATTTATATGATTATACAAATTTAAACAACGAATTATTTGTCCACAGATTTCATGTCATTGGAACTGGTTGAAGGTTACCCCGTGTTACTTGTGAACTACGGCTCGGGAACAACAAAACTGAATAACACAGTAGTCCAGGTCGCCGATGGAAAACCTCATCTGATAGAAATCGTTTTAATGAGAAGCTCTATTGAGATGTTCGTTGACAGATGCAAACTTTCCACGTGTATGAGCTTAGCTGCACCTACTGGACCCAGAGAAATCTTAAATGGTAAGATATAATATGAAGATGAAATAATATTATCATATATTGTGTAGATCTTATTTAGATGCTCTTGCCAGCGGCTTCTCTTGGGTTTATGTCAGTTTTGTCGATCAATTTTTTCGGGGTAAAATCTTCTGTATTACCGACTATAATGTATCTCTGTGCCAAATTTCGTCTAGATCCATTCTGCTGTTCATGTTTGAGTAACACAGATCTATGGTAACTTTCGCATTTGTACTGTTAGGAAGATTTCGTTCAACACTAAATGCCTAGCAAGCAAGAGTGCCTGCGCCGTAAACCGGCGTGTGGCTAGCTTTAGTGTAAAAGGTTCAAGGTTATAGGCCTTCTTCCAAAACCTTCAGGTTCAACATTACTTAGTGGTCGATATTGTTCTTCGCTGTTAATGTAATACTCACATACTGGACTTGAGCAAGTAAGTAATGCGTTAACAGTGATGAAAAGTTTAACTATCTGCACCCGCGTAAAACTAAAATGGTTAGACTGCTGAATAATGATTTAAATTACAAAATATTAAGTTTCTTAAATTCGTTCTAGTGCTTGATACTCTGAGTTTTAGTAATTTACTTTGCAGTATTAAATTTAAACGTTTGTTCTAGTTTAAAATAGAATTAAATAGTTAGAAATTTGTACCCGTACTTTACCGAATGAATTTAACGAAACGATATTAATTGCGTTATGAAGTATTGGAACTAGTTTTGAAAGTTCTAAAACACTGTCTTTGTTATAAAACTTATTAAAGTCAACAAGTACTTCGTAAGTTGTTTGCAAGTTAAGGACAGATAAATTGTTTGTTTGACTTTGGTAACAAATGCAATGCTACCTGGTCATAACTACTTGACTAGTCATGTATTCGTAGGGTCGTCTTCTGTAAGATGAATGAGTGGAAGGTCAGGTTTTATCAACTTAATATCTTTATGCCATCCTTCAGTAAATGCAGTGCACTCACAACAGAAACTTGGAGATCCATGTCACGATAGCATGTTGTTCTAAATCAGTTGTGGTATGTATGTCAATGTTAGTCCTTCCAACTATACTAGACTTATATAGTAGAAAGGGCAATTTACATGTTACGTAACTTAAGTAGAATAGACTGCGTTATAATAAATTTAGACATAAGTATACAACAATATATTTCTTTGCAGTAAACGGACCACTTCAGCTGGGCGGTGCAAGTATAGATCTACAGAACTTGGCCAGGGCATTCAGCTGGCGACACGTGCCAACCAACCAAAACTTTGTTGGCTGCATCAGCAATTTTACCTACAATGATTTCGTAAGTACATTAAGCTCGTGTAGGAGTGACTCAATGAATAGAGCATCGTGGGTGGTAAATAGAAGTTCTCGGCAAAAAGTTCTTGTGAAACAACCTGAGTTATATTTTCTTGATACAATACCGCGATTTACTTGTGTACTTCAGGAGTGAAGATGCAAAAAATATGATTAACCTACTATATATTTTTTCAGGAATTTAAATAGGCGGTATAATATATTTACATATGTTTCTCAACAGATGTACAACTTAGGTGAACCGTCGCTCCATAAGAACGCAGACCCCAGCTGTCAGCGTTCTATGTTCACAGCGGTTACCTTCGGCATCGATACCAACTTCCTCGTCGCCATACTAGTCTGCATTGCTATTTTAGCAAGTAAGTATTGCGCAAATAATTCTTCTTCTTCTTTGAAAAGGCAACTCAACAATTAGTGGATCACACAAAGTGTTGTCCCATGTGGGAATTGAACCCACTACATACAGTGCAATAGAAAGCAGCGAGGTGACCACTTACCAGTCAATTCCAGTACTTCATTTTTACAGTTATGCTGCTGATAATGAGATAGTAAAAGGATATTATTGCAATGTACAATTCGCAAGATGTTACTGATGTTTTAGTGTTGACAAAAAGCTTTGTGCACCAGCAACTGCCAAACCAAGCAGCCGAAAGGCTGCTTGGTTTGGCAGTTAAGAGAGCATACTTTGTATGTTGTACTCGTAAATTTTATCTAAATACGACCTGATATTACTAAGTTTAGATGTAACAAAGTAACTAACTTCACACTTATGATGTAAAAATATTGGTCAAAAGGTATAACTACATAAAACATTTTAGGGCCCTTATTTAAAAGTTTCATATAATACAGGCCGTCATCCTAAAGTGCAGAATGGCTACTTGATATTGTATTAAATATTAATATCAGTTTGTTTCTATCGATATTAGGGGTAGATGGACATTTTTAGGTCCTTAATTTTGAATTATGAGTAAATATTTTATCTAATAATACTATAATTAAGTCTCTTCTCTTCTTTAAGTAAGAAGAAAAGAAACTATTTCACACATGTTTTCTATCGTTTTCTCCTGTTTACTATAATAGTAGTATTATTGACTAATCTTAATTAATGTGATTAAATTGAGATCACAATAATAATATTTTATTTCAAAATGAACTTTGTATATCTAATACTTATACTGCCTCGTTAGTCCCGAAACATAACACATAACTTTTGTTTACCTCGGTTTTATATTCAAATTTGGGTTTAAGCAAACTTTATTAGGAGTTTTGTTAAGAAAAAAATTGGTCCACGTTGTGGAGGGTTAGGATCCTTAATTAAGAGTCAAACAGTATCTATGAAAGTTGGTAAAACTGTTATTGACGTCTCTCTAGATTAGAAAACTAAACATATTCTTTTTTTTTAGTTCTTTTACTCGCTGTCGTGGTTCACCGACGAAGAGCAGATGCGTGGGCAGAAAAAGAGTTGGACGACATCAGGGAGAATATCATCGCTTATGAAGACGAAGGTGGCGGCGAAGGCGACGCCGGGTACGACTTGCACGTGCTGAGGCAGATGTACGACGGACCCCTGCCTGACACTGACACGTTCATGCAGAGCAGAGGTGAGTCTTGTAAGTTGATCTCTTTTAGCCAGGTGATTTTGAACTGCCATGTTCGACACACATGACAGTTTGGAATACAATATTAGTTTAGGTCGCGATTACTTGGGACCCGATGACTCCTGCCGGAGACTACTCGGGGGTTGTGCGGTCCATGGCCCTTTACGGGTGCTCAGTATGGGCGGGGGCCCTGAAGGCCAGCAACGTCGCGATACTGCGACGACCGCAGCGAATGCTGGCCATCAGGATCATAAGGGGGTACCGCACGATCTCCTTTGAGGCGGCGAGTCTCCTGGCCGGAACTCCACCGTGGGACCTGGAGGCGAGAGCCCTTGCGGCTCTGTATCAGTGGCGCAAGGAGGCGCAGGAGTTGGGTCGATGCCCCGAGATTCGAGAAATCGATGACCGGAAATCCCAACTCCGCCAGGTCATCATAGGGGAGTGGAGGGAACGACTCGGGCAACCGAGCGCCGGGCACGCCGTCATTGCGGCGGTAAGACCCGTTATGGAGGATTGGCTCGAGAGGCGTCACGGGACCCTCTCATACCGATTGACGCAGGTGATCACTGGGAAGGGATGTTTCGGAGATCACCTGTGTTTGATCCGCAAGGAGCCAACGCCTGAGTGCCACCACTGCGATGGCCAGACCGTGGACACGGCTCTCCACACGCTGGCAGAGTGCCCGGCGTGGGTTGAGCAGAGGCGAGACCTCGTGGCGGCCATCGGAGTGGGAGTTCTCTCGCTCGATAGCCTGATTGCGGCTATCGTGCGGAGCGAGAGTGCGTGGAACTCTGCCGTCTCCTTCTGCGAGCAAGTTATGCTCGCGAAGGAGACGGCGGAGCGGGACCGGGAGAGGTTTAGAACTCTCCCGGCCCGCCAGGCCCGGGCACGGGCCAGGCAGCGCAGGCGACTCAGGCGCCGGAGGTCGCAGAATGACCTCCGTCCTCCATAAGCGCAGGCCTGGGGGTGACAGGTGAGGCCATCTGTCACCCTAGCAGAAGCAGGCCGGGGTGGCGGCGAGCGCATTGCGAAGCGCGCTCGCTTCCAGGGAGCACAGGGAACATGGGGTTCCCACACGGGGGGGGGTCGTCTACTCGTCTGTAGATGACCCGAGGTATGTCGGGGCACCAGGGACTTCCTTTCTAGGGTATACCTGGTTCCCCGGCTATTAGTACCCGGCAAAGGCGTGCGGTTTTAGTCGGTTCGAGTCCGACATGCCACCGACAGGTGGTATCCGAGGGGATTACCGCACGAAAAAAAAAAGAAAAAAAGGTCGCGATTACTTTAGGCCCTATATTTACCTTTGCTAAAATAAGTGGAAGTAAACCTATTTTCATATTTCGGAATTCGAGGATAAATAGCATTGTTTTGTGTAGTAAAGTTTAGAAAAATAAAATCTGCAATGCAAGATTCTATATCTTGCATTGCAGATTTTATTTTTCTAAACTTTTTATTTTTCACCAAAATAGCGAATCGGTCGAAGTACGTCAGATTTATTTATCTTTTGCCTGAAGCGGAACTTTTTTTCTGATACCCTATGTTCTTTTGCTATATCCCAGGTAATGTCTATTCAAAAAATTCATGACTATCATAGGAACAGTATGGCAGCAAATAAAATACGATCAAATAAACAAGGTTTTTATATGTAACATAAAAACCTGTAAATAATAAATCTTCCCGCGATGACACCAGATAGCGCTCGGTACTTATGAAAAATGACTTCTTGTCTTTATTACGCACATTATTTTTTAGGATTTGCGCTCGACTGAAATTGATATTGGTTCCCTTCTTGGTGACGTGAAATGTTATTTCTTAAATTAGATATGATTTCTGCCGTTTTGCTTCGACATAGTGGTAAAATATGTATAAGCAATGCAGATTTTTGTTTATTTGGTACATACAATTTTAGTATATAAAGAATCTAAGTAAATAAGACTAAGCAGAATGCCATGGACATTTATATTTAAAAAAAATGTTATAAATATCTAAATTAGTCATAAATTGAAAACCGCATACAACAATACCAGACCTTAATGAAAAATAAATTTTCATTTCCCTTGGAATTGGTATGATTTTTATTAAAGTTCTTTTTTTTATACATACGATATTTAAAAAAAATAAGTGGTGAAAAATGCTTTTAAAATAATCATCCATACTAGCCCACGGGAGCTTAAAATCAGAAGCATTAATAACTTTTATTATAATTTTATAAGAGCAGCTTCAGTCGAGGTATTTAATATTCTATATGAAACGGCAATTTTAACTATGAAATCTCGTTTTATTCTGGTATGAGTATTAAGAAAAATATAAAAAAAAAGATAATTTGAAAAGAGAGAGAAGCCGATACGTAATGTGATATATACAAACTCAAAGGTTTTTTTTTTATTTTGATTTATTTATTTTCTACCTAGGTTTGGTAGGCGCAGCGCCTGATATATCAGGGTTCCTGGATGATAAGAAATCAGTTCTAGATAGAGATCCAGATATAACCCCGTACGACGACGTTCGTCACTACGCGTACGAAGGAGATGGCAACACAAGCGGCTCGCTGTCATCATTAGCTAGTTGTAAGTATCTTCTATGTATATTTATACGTACAGAGAACCTTTTTATCCTTTGTTAAGGAAATTGTATTGTATTGTTGTGTATTTAAAGTTTGTATGTGGATGAATAAAGGTTGCCATTTTCAATCAGTATTTTTTTATAATTTAAAAAATTATGTTATAGCAGTAGTATAGTATAAAATGTCCAGCAGTGGACTGCGATAGGCTGATGATGATGAAAATGATGATGATGATATTATAAAATATATTTACTTGTCATGAAATATAAGTAAATATATCAAGTATAAAAGTCATAAGTAGTCAATGAGAAAAAGAACAACTTCTTTATAAATTGTGGTCAAAATTTGACCACTGGGTTATTATTTGCAGGTGTTTTTTTTTTTACTTTTATTAAAATTATCTAAAAGAAAGTTACTAAAGTAATTTAGAAAGAAAACATTTAATTTAATTTGTAAAGCAAAATTAAAGATTCTATTTTATTTTTTTTACCTTAGGTACGGACGATGGCGACTTAAAGTTCAATTACCTATCTACATTTGGTCCTCGGTTCCGCAAGCTTGCGGATATGTATGGCGATTCCGATGACGATCGACCTCACGAAGAATCTTGGTGCTAGCGCCACGCTTGGCTCGTGTAGCCACACACAGACTGTACGGCTTAGGCCAAGGTGATGTGATCAAGACCAAGCTTTGAAATGCCTTATTCAGTGACAGTGACAAGACCCCACCGCGAAACCTCCCATTTTATTTTAATTCCTGTGATAATTGTTAATGTTCGATTGATATTATGATTTGAATTTAACGACAAATTTGACACTGATAATATGCAGGCAATTTTGAAGTATGACAGTTTGAGATGGACGTTTATGTTTAATTATTACTTTGTAACTGTTTTTTTTTTTAAATAACGATGTCTTAAAATAATAAAACGTTTACAGAATTGTTTGCATATTTACCTAGTATTTTATATAAAAAAAAATATAGGCAGCTCGCTTTACTTTATCGTAATACAAAAAAAAACTTATGTATTTAATTATTTCTGCTGCTATTAAGTCAATTTTTGAACTGAATTTACTAACAAGTATGTGTTTTAATATTGCGTAAACTGTGTCAAAATATTTGCATAAATAGCAACAGTATTAGGCGAAATTGCATGTTTCAAAATGTGGGTTAAAACTGATTTCATGTACTATATGGTGTAACTGGATTTGAGAGTAATAAATAGCGGAGCGTTTCATATATGGCGATTGTTTAAGAGAACGCATTATTCTATAAAAAAATCACATAAAAATGTTAAAGCGTTTTAAGAAAATGACTGATATGTAACGTTAGGCATCGTTGTAGATACGCCTAAATTATTTCTTGTATGTAATTTTTTATATATAAAAACTTAGGACATGACTTTGAGTAACAACAATTGTATGTAAGACTTTTATACGTATTAAACATTTAGTTTTATATAACAATACGGCCTTAGCTTAGTCAATGGGACGGGACGGTTTGCTTTAGAACCACCTCTTGTTTTGTAGATATTGATTCCTGAAGTACATAGCATTTCTTCGTGAACCGCGGTTGAATACGAAATCAGAACCACAACATAAAACGGTTGAAATTTTAAGAACCTTAGTTCAACGGCCTATAGCAAGAGAAAGCTTTTTAATTATACGTGTATTTTAGATAGTAATAAAATGGATTTCAATATTCAAAAACACAAATAAGAGTGTTAAAATATGAGCAGACTCGATGGATGGTTCCTACCTTATAGTTGAAAGTTTAGAAGTGCCATTTCGTGGGGAATTATTGTAAGTCAAATATTATTTTTTATGTTTCAAAGGATTTTTACCGTAACAATGGACGTGGACAAAGATGTTATTGTAAGTGTGGTCATACTTTGTAGTTTTATTTCTTTTTTTGTTAATTATTGACATGTTTTATGTTACTACAAGCTACACAATGAACAACACGATTGAGTTTTATTTTGTCACATGACTTGATGTTCACCGAACAGATGAAAACATTATGTATAAATGTTTTATGTTCCTGCTTTTATAAGTAGGCGTATTGTTAGCTGCTAAGTACAATGGCTCGTGTTTATCACATTTTCGATATCAACCGATTTTCGGTTGAACTGCACACACTGGCTATTAAGTAGTAATATTGGTTATAAATGTGCATATACTACAATTCGTTATCACCAAAGCCTAAATTTGCTATATTTGGGTGTCAAGCGTTCGGCTGCTGGTCGGTTGATACCGGAACACTTGTACGGAATACATTGCGGCTAATTGTAGGGGAGTTTTAATCGACATAGAGTAGTTAAAAAGTGTAAATATGTACAGTGATGGGTTAACATTAAGTGTGTGAACTTAAATATTCGGTAAATTAACTTTTATAAAGATAGCATAAGGTGAATATACAAGGTGTCTTATCATTATGCATATCAACGAATTGTAATATTAAAATTTATCCTGTAATAACCGTTGTTTGGACATGTTCTCAATGTGACATATATTATGCCTAACTCTAATAACGATAGTAATTAATATTAATAATTTATATGTATGTGTACCACGGCAACTACTTTTCATTCATTCAGTTAACAATACTGGCCCAAATACCACATTAAAACTTCAGGTTTTCGTAATATTTTGTTAGAACTCATAAGTAAATTACAAATTTTATGGGAACTGATAAATAAAAAGTCATTTATAATTAGTATTAAAAAAAAGGAACAACTATCTATGAGTTACAGTAGCGTCTTTGGATCTTGATACCGAAAACATGTTTGTAACTAAACGTAGTAAATTGTTTCTTAACAACATTAAAACGCGTTTATGTTGTATAGACAGTTACAATAACGTTATTAAATCGTTGTTCTGGTATCCTAATAACCTTAACGATTCTCCAGAAAACGTAAATACCAATATTTTTGTTACTTAGATATTTGTTTCTTTTGTTTGTAGTCATTATAATGATTGTTTTTATTAAGGGCAGAACATCATGCTTTAATTTTTTTAAGCTTATCTGCATACACGTTCTTATGGCATATCTATCACTTAGTTTATGTATGCTTTTGTAAACATGTGTAATTGTTTGCCCGTTTTCTTTTGTTATTGACACGTTGTTGTGTGATTAGATTAAGTAGGTTTAATTTCTTTTTTTTAATTTTTGTATCCGATCGAGCGGACTTGTTATGTCATATCCAAATAAATGTATTGAAACTATAATGTCCTCACTTCTTCCTTCAATATAACACATTTGTTCAGCAGTTTAACCTTTTATGATTGCAGTTCGTCTAATCACAAAATGTCAACTATTGATTAACTTGAACTTAATGTCTTTTTATCGAAATCTTTTCATTTCACAAGAAACGATTTACATACAAATAACCAAGGGGACGTTCTGTTATATACATAGGCATTATGTACAATTAAAAGGCTCCTCGTTAAATTAGTAAGCAACGTGTACCTAATAGGTATTACATAACAATAGTTAAGCATTGATGTATAAAGTAACTGATTACATTCCAATACAACTAATGTTATTAAATGTAATATTATATTGATCAATTACTCGTACTTAGGCATTGTGGGTGAATATTTTTGTATTAACTTCCTCAAAAATAGTCACCCACAAATATAACACTGCCATAAATAAATATTAGATAGGATAAAAGTGCTTTTAAGTTATAAATAGAGAAGATTTTTTTATTTATTGACACGATGATTGATGATTTTTATTTTTTAGTAATTGCTCGACCACACTTGCAGAAAGTAACCTGAAGTGTAATTTTTTTATATTTTTGTGAATGTTAATGTGAGTTTTGAGTATCAATGTTTAGCCGTAATACTGTTATCATTAAATAATGCTATATTGTTTACAAAATCAGAATAAGGCTCAAGTCTCAATTCCACCGCCTATCATCGTAAAATTCACACCATTATACAATCTATACTTTCTGCTTAAAATTTTCAGTGTTTCGTTTTTTCTTATATTTGTGCCTATTAACATCACAAATTTTAATAATTACCATGAATACAAAATTTTTAAAAATCATTACCAGTATCACAAAAACGATATAGCTATTAATATAACGTTGCCGTAACTGTTTGTGCTTTAGATATAAGAAGCTGTTTCTATGTCTTAAAATTTTCAAAGTGTGGTCGTTCCTAAAACCGGTTTCTCTCCATTTATGAGCGATGCAATTTTTTTTTATTGCAATTTTAAGTGATTAAGTGCCTTTTGTTCTGTACGAACATATTTTAATGATTTCCATACCCTTTTGAATTTATCTATAGTGCAAATATTTAAATTTTTTTTATAATCAAAGACACTCGCGGCTATGAATTTACTAAAATTCTTTAGTAATTATGTATAATTGAACAGTCCCTTAAGTTTTGTTAGCAATTGTCATGGTCATATATACATAGAAAGTATTGCGAGTGTCTGTATTCAACATTTCTTGAAATGATAGCTGTCTTCTTCAGTGTTTTTTGTCACACCTATCGAGATTACGCCGAATTTAAACATTTTATAGGAACAGACGGGCAGATGAATTACAAACACCTATAAATCGATACAATACCAAAGCGTTATATAATAACGTAACATGCATTTGAATAACTGTAACTCGGTATTTAATTTTATCGGTTATTCAACAATAACTAATTTACAACAAGTTATTTAACAATTTAACGTTATTTAGTATGTGTGAGGCCGCGTTGTATCAACTACACGCCATGAACCGTCTAATGTTTTATACTAATATAATTCACATTAACTTTAAGTGAATGTATAAATATACTGGGTTTAAGTAATTATTTTAAGTCAAAAGTATGTGTACCTAATTATCTGAGTAAAGGCGAATGATTTAAGTACTAGGTGTGAGCGACTGAACATTGTCATATTATACCTATAATAGGATAGCTTGAAACTTTGTTACGTATAGACATTTAAGAATTCAAGGTCGATATTGGAATAAACAAAATGAAATAGATACTCTTTTATTTTATTTTTACCCATTTATCCTTTGTGATTATGCAACCTATAGTACGTTTGCGTTAAGAAAATAGCGACGCATCGAACAAGCAATGCGCCTTGACCAATCAGTTTCTAAGCTTTCGGACGAAACGATAATTTCTTGGTACCTGATTGGCCAGGAGGCGGTGCATGATCGATTCGAAACTACTGTCTTAACGCGAATTTATTTTCTTTCATTCATGTCATTCGCGTTAAGACAGTAGCTTAACGCGAATGAACTCTAAACAGGTGCAAACACACGGCCGACTAGTGAAATCCAGTTGCATCGCACATCGATAGTGTGTTTCGCTGAACCTAAGCTAACTTATTAAACTGCCTGCCTATGGCTAGATTAGAGCAGAGCAGAGCGATCGCCTGAAACAAGTGGCGAAACCCTTACCACCAAAAAGCATAACGTGGTTTACAATTTACAGCGTAAAGTGAGATTGAAAGATGTCTGGGAATGGGTTAATATGTAATTAAGTACGTGTCACTAAATACACAGTACCTAGATAAGAACGACGTCCCTGTTCGTCTAGTGTTTAGCGAAGCTGCTAAGTTAGATGTCGTAGATTCGAATCCTACCAGGACAAATATT